TTAATTGTTCTAAATATTCATAAAAAAAACACATATCTTTTAGATTCAATTACATTGCAAATTTAGTATCGGATCAATTAAGTTTGTTATTTAAATCATATTATTTATCTAAAAAAATATTGAACTAAACAATCTCGTTGACTAAAAACCAAGCAAATGATTAATTGACGCAAATAATAATTTTTAGTTTATTTTTATTATTTTTTCATGTTAACGTCATATATGTTTTGTTTTTCTTTTTTCTTTTTATTTAAATATCTATTGCAAATAAATTTAAATTTTTCTAAATATAATATTGGCAAAGTTGGGTGGGGAAGAGTAGGGGTGTCAATATTTGACACGACCCGAAAACCCGACTCAAATCCGACCCAAAAATTTCGGGTTAGGGTCAACCCGAACCCGAAACGGGTCGGGTTCAACATTTCGACCAGTTTCAAAAATTGGGTCGGGTTCGGGTTAACCCTTTGACCCGAAATTGACCCATTTTTTACCCGAAAACCTGAGATTGACCCGACGACCCAAGATTGACCCGATTTTGACCCGAAAAAGAGGATATTGACCCGTTTTGACCCGAAAACTAGCCATTTTTTGTTGGAAACGGGTCATTCGGGTCGTGTCGGGTTGACCCGGACCCGAAGCGGGTTGAGTTCGGGTCCGAAAACTCAACACGTTTTCAAAAACGGGTCGGGTTCGGATTGACCCGAATAGTGTCGGGTCAATTTCGGGTTCGACCCAAACCCGACCCATGACCCAAAATTGACACCCCTAGGGAAGAGGTGGAGTGCAGCATTATTATAATAAAAACTGACATCAAGGCTAGCATTAAATGCTGATAATTAATATATTCACATATTTAAAAGAGAAAATGATTCAATTGATCATTTATTTTTTTAATGATTAAAATAGGATTGTTGTGTGTCAAAAATATTCACAATTATATAAATATATTAAATATAAAATTCTAATTTTATATAAAGATCCAACAGACACATCGATAAAAAAGATTTGTGCAATAATCATAAAAAAAATTCATATTTTTTAAATGAAAATATAAGAAAGGGAAAAGAATGCGGCTTAGTGCAGTTAAAATGATTATACTAACATCTTCTTTAGATTATTGACATTATTTGTAATAAACTATAAACCCTAGTGGAATCATTTCAACTAGGTCAAGCCCCATTGTTTTTCTATTTCTCGGATTTCAACTGGGTCATGCCCCATCATTTTTTTATTTCTCGGATTTCCCATGTAAAAAAATATGTTGTATTTTTATGGTTCTTGCACCCCATATCTTTTATCTATGTATTTGCTAGTTAGTCTAAAGATAGGACTTAAAACTCCATATCTATTAAGGCATCTCCAGCCGAAAAACTCATTGTACACTCTAAAATGCAGTAAAACTTTAAAATAACGTAATTCATCTCCAATCGAACTTCATTTCTCTCCTCCCTCGCGCGCTTCCTGTGAATGTAACTGTCTCTCTCCCCATTCGTGCGATTTTCTCCTCTTTCCCTCTCTTCTTCCCCAAATTCTCAAGTGAGGGTTTTTTTGTATAGGTGAATAGTCCGACGTCAATATTGACGTCACACTGTTCACCTACCGAATTTTGGCGTGAGATTTGGAGTTCAAATGCAGCGAATGACGAACAACATACGATGTTATGCAGTTCTGCTGAAGATGAACTTAATTACTACGAATGTTAAGCAATCAACAAGTCTCTAATTACGTAAAAGTATAAATTTGCCAGATCACTATTTAAAATCTCAAGAAACTAAAATAAAAATTTGAAATTGTTGAGGTCCTTTTTTATTCATTATTTTGATCTTTTAACTCATATTTAAAATGTTAAATGTTAAATTTATTATAATTATCAATGAGGCTTAATGGAGGAGTGCGAGGAAATTTATTTCTCTATAAAAATAACGTATAGTTTTTTATGCCTAATAAAGGATGGTGATTAATTAGTCTGTTGACTCTTTGAGTTGCCGTGTAGAGCGGACTCCGTTGATTCACAAAGTGGTCCAGGTTGGTAAGGAGTGGGGACCACCACTTGCTCAGTGGGCCCGGCTCCAGTCGTTGGGTGTTTCGGGTGCCGCCCATGTTCAAGCGTAAGGAACACGACACCAATATGCGTTTGTGCGAGGCACCGGTCCGCCCGGCCCGGCCCGGCCCGGGAGTCAATTTAGGTTGATGTTAGAATTGAATATGATATGAAGTTGACTCTGCTGAAATTTATTTGACAACAAGCTGATCCGACCCGACCCAATTTATTTAGGGTTTAGGGCTTGTTTGACCTGAGCCCGTACAACCCAAAGTATCTTTTGACTTGGACCCGATAGTAATTTGGTAAAATTTTTTTTTTATTATTATTATTATTATTTTTAGTTTCAAGGTAAACCTAACTTGAATTCAATTAGGTCAATATGAAATTGGATTTTCTTTTTAAAGTTGAATATTGTTCAGTCATTTATTGATACCTCACCTTTAATGTTGTCTTTAGTTTTTATATCATTATTTTGCATTGCTATTTTTTTGTGAACTCTCATGTTAGAAAGTAAATCACATAGCGAAGCAAATAAGAAAAAAATAAAATAAAATAAAATAAATATCAGGATTAACGTGAAAAAATTCAAAATTGAAAATAAAAATATTGAGTCGCACCACATCAAAATATTTACTATAATTATATAGAACTCTTTGCTCATATCGTTCATTGCCTCTCTTTACTTCTTTTATAATTTTACACTCAAAACAGACAAAGAGGCACGCATATGTCCCTCCCAATGACACATCACTTCAAGTAAATACAAACTGAAATGAAGGATAAATTGCCAATTCTACTCGCAGTGCAGAGTAATGACATTTAGGTCTCAGATAACAATATGACCTAGCGGAAAACGAGTCGAGTTGAAACCGAGCGAGGGGTTGTTCGAGTCAAGCTCGACTATCTAATACCGAGCTCGAGCTCAACTCATCTTCATGTCGAGCAGCTCGTGGAGCTCAGTCCCAAGCTCTGCTTTCAAACTCTGTCCCTCGTCGTCGCGTTCGTCGTCTCTCATCCGTCTTCGTGCATGTCTTCCCAACCTCCGCCGTCAATATCCGTCATCCCGAGCTCATCATCTTCTCGTCGTCTTCTCGAACTCCGGCGACGTCGTCCAAAGGACCTGAGCTCGTTGTTGAAAATGATGGACGTCGTCGTCTAGATCTTCTCCACCGTCTTCCCGAACTCTGGCGACGTCGTCCCAAGGACCCGAGCTCGTTGTTGAAAATGACGGACGTCATCGTCCAAATCTTCTTCATCATCTTCTCGAACTCAGGCGATGTCGTCCTGAGGATCCGAGCTCGTAGTTGAAAATGACGGACATCGTCGTCCAGATCATCTCCATCGTCTTCCCGAACTCTGGCGACGTCATCCCGAGGACCTGTCGTCGTCCAGAGCTTGTTCGCCGTTGAGATCCTCGTGTGAGCTCCGTCAATTTGGATTTTCCCGCTCGCGAGCTCTGTGGATTAGGATTTCCAACACGCGAGCTCTGCCGTTGAGCCGACGATTCAAGTCTGAGGCCTGTTCGAGCTTGAGCTCGATAAGCCTTCGAGCTTGACTCTTCAAGCCTGTTATCGAGTTGAGTCTGAGCTGGCTCGCGAGTCGGCTTGACACAGTTGCAACCCTAGTAAAATCAAATTCCACACAAAACTAACATTTCCAACATCCATATTGCCCATATTTCATGTGAGAAATTAGCGGAAAATCAAAATGTATTCATTACATACATCACAATTTTTTGTTTTACTTTAAGATGAGTATAACACAATAATAAAAAGTTTATATTATATTTACTCAAAATAATTCAATGGGTTTAGCAATCATCTTGCCCAAAGATCAAAACTAATTATTTTTTTAAACTTTGGTTAAGATATCATCACTTAATATAAATCATGGGCGGATCCACATTAAGGCCATGGGGTAATTGCGCCCCATGAAAAAATAAAAAGAAATTACTTATTATATAAATCTTTAGGTAATTTGTCCAATTTCATGTATTTTTTAGTCTTTATTATAAGGGGTTTTAGGCAGCACCCTTTGAACAAATTTTATTTGTAAGGATATTTACGAGAATGTATAAATACTAGGGGTGCAAACGAGTCGAGTCGAGCTCGAGCCAAGGGTTATTCGAGTCGAGCTCGACTACCATATACCAAGCTCGAGCTCGAACTCGACTTGAGCTCAAAATCCGAGCTCGACTCGTCCCATGTCGAGCGGCTCGTCGAGCTCAATTCGAGCGCAAAATGTTGTCGTCGCGTTGAGCTTAGTCCGTCGTCGTTGTCGAGCTTAGCCCGTCGTCGTCATCGTCCGTTTCAAGCTCAGTCTGTCATCCTCGTCATCGTTGAGCTCAATCCCGAGGTCCATCGTGGTCGAGCTCAATCCCGAGCTCCACTGTCATTGTCATCGCCCGTTCTGAGCTCAGTCATCATCCTCGTCATCGTCGAGCTCAATCGCGAGGTCCTTCATGGTCAAGCTCAATCCTAAACTCCACCGTCATCTTCGCATCTGTTCCGAGCTCAGTCCATCGTCCTCGTCATCATTGAGCTCAATCTCGAGGTCAGTTATGGTCGAGCTCAATCCCGAGCTTCGCCGTCATCATCGCGTCTATTTCGAGCCCTTTCATCGTCGTTGCGTCCGTTGCAAGTTCCACCGTCGAGATCCGATCTGTCGTTGTCGTTCCGAGCTCGTTCCCGTGAATCCCGCCCAGTTGAGCTGCTTGTCGAGCCGACTAGTCTAGTCCGATGCCTGTTCGAGCTCGAGCTCGAAACTGTGTTTGAGCTCGACTAGCTCGGCTAGTCAAGCCCGAGCCGACTTGACTCGGTTGCACCCCTAATAAATACTAATCTAAAGATAAACTGAATAGTTTTTAAGTCACTATCATATGAAGACACGTGGGAATTGTTGCGGTGTTTGCTGTTTGGATTGTAACGGCAGCTTGGCCTGCGCTACGGATCTCAATTAATATCGTAGAGGAAGGGAAGCCGAGTTATGCCTCGATCGGTGGCTCGCGCGTTCCTCCTTTCCTTTCCGGGATGCTTCACGTACATGTAAGATTGGAAGGGGAGATATATGCTCGATTTTGAAAACGATTTATAATTTTGGAATGTAATTAGTTTTGTTGATTTCGGTGTTTTTCGTTTGATCTTGGAGTTAGGTCGAGGGATGGGAATCTGATTTGGGCGTTTGAGGAATGTGACCGTCTCCAAGATCATGATTGATGAGGAGGATAAAGGTAGGGTTTTAGTTAAATTTCTATGCTACCGATCTGTTTTTTTTTTCTTTTCAATATAAATTTTTATTACTATTGTTATTGTGCAGTAGTTTTTGAAGAGATCACGAGCGTTGTTAATTGTGTGACTAGGACGATGTCCTTGGGGAGTGATAGCTGATGTTTGGGCTCAGTTGAATGCGATTTTGGTATCGGGCGGTGCGAGATCTTAGGTTTGGATTGATTACATGTTAGAATTGCGATCACAATTATCCTTTATCAGGCTATGCGGACAGGGGAATGTATTTGTGATTGATTTATATATTTTGTGTTTTTTTTTTAAAGTGCACTGCTGATTGATCATATCTTCCTGTTTGCTTTATTGATCTATTGGCCTGGGCACGTGAGTTATGATACAACAATTCCAATCCGCCAGCTTAGGTTGTTGTCACACCTTTCAAGTGGAAACGATGAAAATTTTGGGGGAAAGTCTTTGCATGTTGATGTGTAATGGTGTGTCACCTGAAGCACTATGAAGATATGAGTTTCACAAATCAAATCAGCCAAAAGTGTTCAAAAGTGATTCAAAAGTTGCAAGTATATCATAGAAGTGTTTTCTATTAAGCGAATCTAGATGTCAATTGTTGTTGGTCAAGTTGAGTGATTGAGCATTATTAATGTGCTTGAGATATTTGTAAGTACAAATGATTATGATGATTTGCTAAGTGGATATGAAAAGACATTACCAAACTTTCATGATGATGATGATGTTAGACTATCTTGAATCTCATCTATGTCCTCCTAGGTTTGGCCGAGACCTTCAATGACTTGCCCTCCTCATAAATTCTTTGTTCGACCTTCTTGAACTTTAATTTGGATATTGGTGGGAAGTAGCTTACTTTTTTGCAGGGATTTTGAGAATAGGGAGAGGAGGGCTTAATTGCTCTCCTTTGGGCAGTATGGCTGACAACCCTGGTAGATATGGATGAAGTGACAGTTTGGATTTGGGAACCTTGGACCGCACTTTATTTCATAATTTATTGTTTCCAAATGGTTACATAGATCCCCTTAAAGAAAAAGGAAGAAAGTTCTCGAAAGAAAAATTCAAATTATAATTAAAATTGAAATTTTCTTAAAAGCAGAATCTAATTGAAGAAATAGCAACCAATTCTAAAAACTAGGAAATTGAAATTCAAAATCAGCCTAATCCTGCTAAACTGGCCAACCATGCTTCATGAATAAGATGTTTGCTTGAAATTTACCCATGGTTCCACATTTCATGCTTTCTTTTAGAAAATTCAAATTGATTCCCACCATTGAAGTGGTCAACCCTCATCTTGAACTTCAACTTTGGCTATCCTTGAGAACTACATTGGTTAGTTACAGAGAATTGGAGAGGTGGGAGTGAAGGAGGGATTAGTTTTGCTCTCTTTTAGATAGTGTGCATAACAACCTTTAGAGGGCTAGAGTGCTGGCTTCGGTTTGGGAACCAAGCATCATTTGTTACTTCCAAATGGTTACATATATCCCTTTAAATCAAAATACAAAACCTTTAAATAGTGTAATTCAAATTACATTTCAAAAATCAAATTTTCTCGAAAGTAGAAACTACCCTGAGAAATAACTACCCAATTCTAAAAACTAGAATATTGGACTTCGAAATCAACCTAATCCCACTGAAGTATCCAGCCATGCTTCATGGTTAAGGTGGATGCAATATTTCCAAAATTTCATTCCTTCTCTGAGAAATTCAAATTGATTCCCTCCAATGTAGTGGATCTAACTTCTTGTGATGGCTTGGAATTTTTAATTTTGTAAACTTGTTGATAAATGTTTCTCACATCTAATGGAAACTTCTGGGAATCTTATATAAGTTTTAGGACAAATTTGGATGCTTTTAGAATATTCTGAAATGTTTAAAAAAATCCTAAAAATATGTGATGCTAGAATCCGCTTAGTTCATAAAATCTCATAATGTATGCTTTGTAGCAGCTATATGCATGGTGATTTATCAACAGTTGCTGGTGTGAGTTTTTTCTTTTTAAATTTTAATATATGATTGGCTAGGTGCAGTTGTGAGTTTGGTGGATGTTGAGGAGGTTGAATTGGTTATAAACCTTGGCTCTAGCAATAGATATCATATATTGGTGCATATAAACAAAGTTGGAAATGCAATGATCTTCATAATATTAATAAGTTAATGGATTAGCATGGTATATTTCACCTAATTATGATTGGTTGATTGAAAAGTAATGAAGTTCTATTTCAGTGTTTCTAAATCATAATATGCTAAGTGAAGTATGAAAGTTATTTTTGCTTAAAGACGGAAAGTGAATCGGAGCTTCTATTGTTCCAAGAGCTCCAACTTATGCATTTTATATACTTGTATCAAACATAATGCTGAAGACCCAATTTACTAGGCCAAAGACAGACCACATCAAGTAACAACTTCTAAGTTCTTCCAAATCATGGAGAGATACATAATTCATTCAAAACATCTAATTGCATTGTATTAGCGAAGTATAATAAATATAGAAAAATAGCGAATTAAAAGGTTAATTAAATGAAATAGGATAGTTAGTAGCTTGTTCTGAAATTGACGACCACATGCACAACAAAAGATTGAAAGTAAACACTGTAATTTCTTAGAAGTTTAATCTGTGATAAAAGTACATGATATGACATAGAGAAATAGTTAACTCGAGGATTGTTATGAAGGAAATAAATAAATGTGACCCAAACAACCTATAAACTTCACTAGGAACCTTATAGGCAAGATTAGTAGTCTTGCACAATAAAGCTGTTCTCTCGAAGGCCTCTAACTCTTCAAAATGTGTCAATACATAGAAAATTTACCTCAATAAATGTGCCATGACATTGAGGGCTTCATATATTTTACCTAGGAAGGCTTAGTCAACAATCCCAACTCTAAACGTGGTTTGCACACTATCTACAAGAATTCTTAGGTATAAATATTTTCTTTTACCTAGAAGGGGTGACACATGATCAATGTAACTGGAGGGGACCCAAATAAAGAAATGCCCAGACCAGAACCTTTGGTCTAAGGCCTTCCAAAACATCTAACATTGGTTTCACCTAAAATAAGATGCAAATAATAAAACATCGCCAGAAATATTGGATGGCTACTCTTTGCTCAGAGTTGATCATTTGGTTCTCCTGCTTAAGATTGCTAAGGGAGTCAAGTCAAAGCCCACGAGAGCTCACATAGAATCTAATTTACCATAAATGTGACCTTAGCTATCACCCTCAAAACACTTATGATAGTGAGGAGTCTGCAAATATATTCAAGGCTGATGCCCATGCCCATGCTACCAAGCCACTTAATCAATCAAGTTCAAATTGGTTTTGTTCCCCAATGTCCATGTGTATGAGTTGGTCAATCATTTGATAGCTTGTGAAGCTCTCTGTAAGATGAAGTATGTTGGCACTTGCCCTCTTGGGCAAGTTTTTCATCTTTGATCTATTAGGTCTCATTGAAGGAGATCATTGACAAAAATTATCATTTGAATAAAAAAATAATATCCTTGGGATACTTAGATAAAGGCGAGATGATAAAACTTAGACCGTGTAAACTTGGGATCTTGATAAAGCATGCCATCATTTTGCTTCAACTCCTCTGAGAAGCAAACTACTTGAAAACTTTGCAATAGGTTGGACCAAATTAGTAAGTTATTGCAGCATAAAATTTATTTGTAATTTTTTTTACTATTTATTCGGGAGTTGTATCACATGGCAGGAACGGTTTGTTAACCCATGGGGCTTAACCAATGGTAAAAGCCTTGAACCATGATTAGAAATTCTTTTAATAAGGGAGAAGTTTGTTTCTTGATTAACATATTTAGCCTTTCTCCCAAAGAAATCGCTAATGATACTCCTCTTAGGTTGAGTGAGCTTTTCAAAGCAAATAAAAAAGTGGAAGATATGCCAATACGTGGATCAAATAAAGTTATTGTGAAATAATTTACTAGGAAAGAGCTATACTGATGTTTCATTATTAGAAGTTATATTAAAAGATTTGACTAAAATAGATTTAACATCTTATACAATACTTAATAAGAATGAATGGAGTATTGAGAATTATAAGGCTAACCTCAAGTGGTTGGTATAAAGTAGTAGTTGTTGTTGTTCATGATAGTATTTGTTTTGAGTAGGTTTTTTATGTCACAAAATTTCATCTCATTGAAAGATTTTGCTACTCAAAATTCATATTTGAACTTACCTTTTTAAAGTTGTGGGACTAGGCATGTCGATATTAGTTGAAACTCAAAACTCTTTCAAAACTTGCTTGATTTTGAAATTAATTCAAGACATTTGAAATTGTATCTCAAGCTTAACGTTGACTTTGAAAAAAAAAACAAGTTAAGTTTGTTTTATGCGTCTGACTCAAATTTTGATTCATACTAACTTGAATTATGGATACATTTATATGTTGTTCGTTATGCTTATTTTAACATATCTCGTTCTACTAGTTAAAGATATTTTATTTGATTTATGTTGTACCTTTTATTTGTTTGTTATTCATACTAGAATTATTAATATATCTATGTACTATTTTTTTACATTTGCACTCTGTTGACTCTTTTTGGCATTTTGAGTTCGTGTGCATATGTTGCTTGCCATTTTATTTTGCCATATGTTTTCATTATTATTGATTTATTTTAATTATTTATATAGATAAGAAATTTTGTTGGCAGTTACATTTGAGTTTGAAGAATAAATTTTTTCATTTCTGTTTTGTGGATGCTATCCAAATTTTATATTTTGTAGATTTATTAGAGTTTAATTGTTTGCAATTTTTACTTGAAAATAACATATAATAAATATCTAAAATAAAACAATGACCAAATTACCTCTCATTTTAATACCATTAAATCTTAACTAAATTGGTGGGACTAAAATGGTCCCATTTTAAAGAGTTGAGGGACCAAAATGCCCCCTTAATTTAGTTTCGGACCATTTTGATCATTCCTAAAGAGTTAAGGGACCATTTTGGTCATTTTCTCTTTTTTATTTTATTTCAAGCCAAGTTGAAATGAATTTGGGCAACTCAGAATCAAACTCCTTTTGAGCCTAGCTAGCTCAACTTCTTGAGTGATTTGATCTTGGGTGAAGTTAAATCCTTCCAAATTTAAATCTTTTTGAGCTCGAGTCTGGACGGTTTGTTTGAAAACTCTTTGACACTATTATGGACAACTAAACCAAAATATTCATGTTTTGTTTATTCGTCACCCAGTGAATGTGAACCTCCCAAACACTTGAAGTTTAGGCTATGATGAGTTTATAAAAAAAAGTTTCTAACTTTTTGTAGATAAGTTGATGGGAAATCAGGAATGTGTATGCTAGTGCCATTATTCATTCTATGTGGAACCTTTACATATGTTTGTATAGCACAAACGATACTAATAGGAATAACCGAACCGGAAATGTAACATCACAGATGAGGATAACATAAAGAACTATCATACTTGACTCCTTCAGGTGCTGCAATAGTTTGCCTAGGTTCCCATGTGTACTCATCTTTTGTCTGCCTGCAATTTCATAGATTTTGCTTCTTTAATCTTTTCGAATGCAGGGACCATGCAAACAAACATCGAGGCATCCCTTGGCTGTCTTAAGAAGAAGACATCTGACGTGAAGTCCCAGGGAAGTGGGAACGCTAGCTGTTTTAAGAAGGCATCTGACGTGAAGCCCCAGGGAACTCGGAATGCTATGGAAGATATTCCTGAGACTAAAGAAGATATTGATGTACCTCCAGCTTATTTTTTTCATTCAGACTACTCAGTTAGCAGGGAAGGATCTAGACTTTTGCATCAAAGCCAGAACATGCCATTTTACCAACCAGAAGTCTTGATGTGGCCAATCATCTATCCTGGTATACAGATGCAGCAGCAGCAGCACCATATGAATGTATTTGACAATCATTTATTTCCAATGAACAGTGAGGGTTTTTACCCTGCTGAGCATAAAATACATTATATGCCATACAAGATGTTTCCTCAAGGTTACCCACATGAACTTCAGTTTCAAGAATTTCAATATTTCGTGGTTATTGACTTTGAAGCAACCTGCGAAAAGGATAAGATCCTACATCCACAAGAGATCATTGAATTTCCATCTGTTCTTGTTAATAGTTGTACTGGATGTCAAGAAGCTTCCTTCCAAACATATGTTAGGCCCGTGCATCATCAACTCCTGACTGATTTCTGCAAGGAGCTCACAGGCATCCAACAAATTCAGGTAAGTGGCACTCTACAGCTCTTTCTATTGTATTACAGTTAACAGCGACATCACATTGCTTATTGAAGACTGATATCATTTGTATTTGCTTTTCTATGTCTTCCATTGTCTCGACTGGTATTATTAAGTATAAAAGCTTCAATATATCTTCGTCCCATACCATTTAAGCGTTGATAATTGATTAAATTTTACTTTGGTAGCTTTTACTTGTAATTTCCTCTACGAATAGAAGGGAAAATTTGGTTTATTTATACAATACCTTTTTATGGAGCCGTTTATAGTTTGCTACATTTTGTTCATAATTGAGACTTTTGGAGTTTTCTAGTATGAATTAATTAATCCCGAAGGTGCAGTTAGCATTATGATAACATCACAATTTAAAATGCTAGGTTTCAGATAAATCAGTCATTTGGAAGATATCAGAGTACCATTTAAGTTACTTTTTTTGAAGGTGATACTGAAGTAATAGAGTTCTTAATCCTACACACTAACAATCTAAGTAATAAAGATCAAGAGATCAACCCAAGAATTTCTCTTGGTGTAGCTCCTCCCCACCAAGTTAATAGCAGTGAGAAGAGCCATAGTTCCCTGTACCAATGGTGAGGCCGAGAGACTTTGTTAGACATTAACATATTCCATTTGATCCTAAAATTGTACCATCAAACTGTAAAGCATGGGCTACAAACACGATAGATCAACCAAAATCCATGAAAGTCTACCAACTAAGAACTCCAAGACATTCAACATTGGCAACATAAAGTTTAAGCAATTAATCTATGACTTTCTTGCGGGAAGTATTTCTTATAGATATCATCTACTTGCCTTTGATCTCAACATGTATAATTATGTTTATCCTATATTGAGGTAGGTTAGGTAATTGAGTCCTTGGAATAAAATTCACAGTAGGTTGTATTATCTCTCGTAAGATTGTTCATTAGGTAGCTCATCAAGAGAATATTAGAAAGCTCAGAGATATGGTTATTGATAACGCCATGCATGTGAGTCTCTTTCGGTGTGGGGATTACTTTGGCATGCAATATGTGAAGAGAGTCATCATCACAAAATTATTTTCTTGACTTATTACAACGTTATTTTCAATGTGAATCCTAACAGTAGGATATTGGAATGCATGTCGGGAGGGAGTCATTTTGAGTAGTGAGGGATGAAGTGCGAGGTTCAATCACAATCAATTTTAGTTTGATAGTCTTCTTTTACGATAATTATAGTTTATGTTTAAAAGAATATTTATGTGGTGGAACTTGTTTTTTTTTTTCTACTGATTTGGTTGGCAGGAATTATGTTATTTTATTGTGTAATTTAAGAAACATAAACATTCTCTTTATCCTGATGAATTGCATCCATATCAAAGAGCCAAGACCTGCCTAGAATTGTGTAGGCAATGTCCATAGGGAGGATATCACGTCAAATCTTATGATGCAGAACAGAGTGGGATGTAGTAACATGCAAGTTAGAATGCTTATGGATTAACTAAAAGATGAATTAGCATTCCAAAATATAAACCAAATACCTCTAAAAGAACAAAATAAAGATTTCCAGGATTTAACTTAGCACGGCACGAAATCACTTACCCTGATGCGAGAATGATTTAAATAAAACAAAGATTAGCAAACTTAGAGCAAAACAAAATCCCAAAGTTAATATTTAGATTAGACACTAAGAGAGTTACCTTCACTCATGCTCATTAGTACACTCAAACATGAGGAGAAACAATGCTTTAATTGAAGAAACCACTAATGGAGGTGATGCTGAAATATAAGCTCAAAGGAAAGGAACGAACCTGTGATTCAGAAGAATGCGGTAAACCTCAATCCTTGCTTTGGTAGATGTAGTGGCTGCCTTCAGCTGACCGAAATGGTTCTGTTGGCTGCTGGAAAGGAATTTTTATTTCGTCAGGTTACCTGATGTAGCTCTACGTCAGGTAGCCTATAATATGTCTCCACGTGCTGTTTTTCTTTACCGCGTGGACCGACTACCCGACCCGGAACGGACCCGAGAGTTTGTGTAGCTCGGTATTGATCGATTTTGCTCGACAAAAATGAAAAATACCATTCTGTGAAGACCAATACCGAGCCTATATCGAGCAATACCGAGCAATACCGAGTTCTTTTAGGTATTACTCGGTATTGATCTTCACAGAGCTGTATTTCTCGTTATTGCCAAGCAATACCGAGTAATTCATAGCAATACCGAGTCTATACCGAGCAATACACGAACATAGTAATCCCGGATTCCGGTTCGAGTCGGGTCGTCGGGCCGCGCGACAAAGAGTAAGAGCACGTGGTGACATATTATAAGCTACCTGACGTAGAGCTACATCAGGTAACCTGACGGAATAAAAATTCACGGAAGTGGACAGTAGCAGTTCACTGTGTTCGAATGCAGGGATAGGTTGGCAGTAAGGGTGCAACCGAGTCAAGCCGGCTCGGGCTCGACTCGACAACAGGCTCAACGAGCCGAGCTAAACGAGCCCGCGAGTCGAGCTCGAACACAGTTTCGAGCTCAAATGCTTAACGAGCTCGAGCTCGAACAGACATCCGACTCGACTTGGCGGGATTCACAGGATCAAGCTCGGGACGACGACGGCGGATCAGATCTCGACGGTGGAACTCGCAACGGACGCAACGACGATGGCAAAGCTCGAAACGAACGTGATGACGACGCCGAAGCTCGAATGGACGCGACGAGATTGAGCTCAGAGCTCGGAGCTCACGACGACGAAGCTCGGGACTACATATTGGACGCGACGATGACGAAGAAGCTCGGAATGGACGTTGACGATGACGAAGCTCGGAGCTCGATTGAGCCCGTGATGACGACGACGGACGACGTCGTTGTTGGACACGACGACGAAGCTCGGAGCTCGATTGAACGCGCGAACGACGTGATGACGGACGACGTCGTCGTTGGACGCGACCTTGACATAGAACGCGACGACAAACCGCGAGTACGCAACGACGACGGACGTCTACACGGCAACGAAGGCGAGTACGCGACGACATTTTGAGCTCGAAATGAGCTCGACGAGCCGCTCGACAGCGAAACGAGTCGAGCTCGAGCTTAGTATCTGAGAGTCGAGCTCGACTCGAACAACCCCTGGCTCGAGCTCGACTCGACTCGTTTGTACCCCTAGTTGGCAGCAAGTTGGATGAGATAATTAGAAAAAATTAAGTCTTGGTTGGGGTTAATGCCTCCCTTGGAGGCTGCAGGAGAAGTAATTGCAGCTGAAATAAATTAATTCCAAGGGGAGATTAAGGATAAAGTTGGATATTGGGTTGAGAAAAAGTTTTATTAACTACAAGGATTGTAATTAATAAAAAGCTGGAAAGTTAAGTTAGGTGGCAGCTTGGGGAATAGGAAAGGTTGGAGCTTTATTGGGGGTGAAAAATGGTAGTGACTTTTCCTATTATCTTTGGGAGATGAAGGGTTTTCAGCAGGGAATATGATTGGGTGGCTGTTGAGTCCCCAAAAGATGGCTTTTGGGCTTCCAAGGTGTGGAGTAGGTGCATGGCAGGATGAGGGGAGGGTGGAGGAAGGTTCTAGGATGAGTGGTGGTTGGAATTTGGGGATTGTTGGCCACTGTGGAGCAACCAGGAGACAACAAACAGTGCTTGAACTGTTTGGTTAGCAGTTGGTTGGCCGATTGGTGGCAGGACAGTGATGGACTGGAGCAGGGAAGTGGAAAACTGCAGTGAAGAATCGACTGGTTGGAGGGAGAAGCTGGAAAACAAGATTAGAGGAAGAGGAGATAGAAAATGATAACCCAAGAGCACACCTGCTGTTGGGGTGTTTCTTTTCCTCTAGATCTCACTCTCTAGGATTGCCAATCTCACCAAACAGGAAATTTTAAAACAAGTGCATAAGCTTTCATATATTCATCATCTCCTAATACATGACTAAGGCCACTATTTATAGGCCAAGAAAAGGAAAAATAAGCATAGAACAAATTGCCCTCCCAAACAATAGTATAAAACCAAAACTAACAAGACAAACTGGGAAAATACATAATATCAGAATAAAATGTAGAAAATACAAAAGTCAAAAAATAAAGACTATGGAACACATCCAACGGTCCACGATCATGCCGATGATAAACCCGCTAAGGCTTGCTTCAGATGTCCCCATCATCTTATCTACACAACTATCCATTTTGATTGTAACAAGACACTTAGATGTGATAGGTAGTGGGATATAGCTAACTCAACATACATCAAATGGCTTAAGAATGCAGCTCAAGTTTTAGGTTGACTCTAATAAGAGAAGTATTACTGATCACATTCATGTTTCTTCCTCTATCATAACAGCCCCACTTCTTTTATCATTACAGATAACAATCACATGAAAAAAGCTATTATGTCTCCAATCTTCCATTTTATATTTTAATCACAAAATACATCTCAAAACAGCTAGGTTGAATATTAGACTTTTTTTTTTCTCATAATTTTTGGCTTAGGGTTGTTAGTCTCTTTGAAGATAAGGATTTGGGATTTATATGGGATTTATATGGATTTTGCTTATTACATTGTTAAAGACATTCAAAGAAAGTAATTTCCTGAGCACTAAAGTTGGATTCGGAGGCGGTCCTAGTTTGAGAAGCACTAGAAGAAGTAGAGGAAGTGGAGGAGTTATAGCAGCAAACCTATGGACAAAAGTAGGAAAGCAAGTACGGTTTAAAGCTAGGCATCAACTTATGATTTTCAATTATTAAAGTATATAATGGAAAGCATTTTCTAGAGTGTCAGGATCCGTAGGATTAACATTTATAATTTATTGTATTATTCCTATGACAAATTTATTAGTGAGTTGCCACTCTTAGTCATTACAATTTATTTTTTCTAAGAGATCCAAAAAATGTTAAAAGATTACGTGCAACTTGCATTGTTCTTCTTCGTAGAGTGAGTTGTCATGCACATATTTATCATAATACTTGGAACAATTTTTAGCTTTTACCATTTCTTTCATTTATACATAGGCTAGGTTAATTCTTCAGCTCTTTATTCTTTAGCTAATGTATTATTCTTGTAAATGTTTTGTAAGATCAATTAATTTCATTTGTAAAGTTTATTTTTGAATAATCATCTATATCTGACCGGTCACCATCCATTTATTGGAACCAATCAATTTATTAGCCATGCATACTATCAAAAGTCGGAGCTTCAATTTTGTTTTGATGCCTTAATCATTAGTGAGCTTTTGGTCTTATCTAGGTTTTCTTTGAATATGGATTCCTTTATGTTCATGATTGGGCTGATGTTGTTATAGAATTGCCAACAATATAATATATATATAACTATCAAATTAGGAATTGGGAGGAGCAAGACTAACCTTACCCGAAGAAAAAGACATTTTCATTTGTAGTTTCCTTGAAAATTGCCAATTAGTTGAGTTTGACCTTGTGTGCCTTTAATCAAGCTCATTGATAAGCATCCTTCTCAAACAGGCCAAAAACACCATCTATTTGTTGGAGCAAATCAATTTGTTAGTCATGCATACTATCAACAGTTGGAGCTTCAATTTTAATTTTGAAGCATTGATCATTAGTGATCTTATGGCCTTGTCTAGGTTTTCTTTGTATATGGATTCTTCTATGTCCAGGAGTGGGCTGATGTTATAGTCTTATAGAATTGCCAACAGTATGAAAAAAAAAAAATCATTTACATGAAAAACTATCAAATTAGGAAATTAAAACGTTTGAGATGAGCAAGACTAATCTTACCTGAAGAATAAGACATCTTTATTTCCATATTCATTGAAAATTTCCAACTGGCTGAACTTCATCTTGTGTGCCTTTAATCAAGCTCATTGCATTTTTTTCCCTTTTAGCCAATTCCTTTGAGCCTTTTTGCTCCGATACTAATGTAATAAAGGGTGTAGAAGAGCATCTTGAATCTTGATGATGAAGGCGCTTACTTGTTGGTGGTTTGGAATCCAAATATATGGTTGGCGCCCATAAACAAGGTTTTTAGGCTAACTAGGCTAGGGCTTGGAATTGGTTCTTGATTTTTGTTTGTTGGCGCCCATAAAAAATATATGACAGAATAGTTTTAAGTTATTTGGTTTCATAGAGTCGTCTAGTTCTTGCTCTGGCTATAAATAAAATGTTTTTTTAACATTGCATCTGTCTTTGATGTCTTATGATAGTTTCCTTTTTTATGTTTATTTTCATTCCTTTCCAGGTGGATAAAGGTGTTTCTCTTAGCGAAGCTCTGCTCTTGCATGACAAATGGTTGGAAGACAAAGGGATTAAGCATAAAAACTTTGCTGTGGTCACATGGTCTGACTGGGATTGTCGTGTGATGCTTGAAACTGAGTGCAGATTTAAGGGGATTCGGAAACCTCACTATTTTAATCAGTAAGGATGCAAAGTTTGCTTAATGCATTCGCAATATTCTTCAATTCAGCGTTTTTTCTCTTGAAAATTATATCAAATAAAGAAGCTTTATAATGTATGATCTAATTTTGCTTATATAACTATGGAGTTTGAAAATTATTACGATCACATAGTATGCAAAATAGTTGTGATGTACTACTCAGGCTTCGTTTGGGACGTCTTTTTTATTGCTTCTTGAAACTAAGAATTTTTATACTAAAACTCCGTTATAAGAATCAATAAAAAAGTCGTCCCAAATGAAGCCTTAGTCTCTACAAAGCTCCGACAACTAACCGACTATTTTTTCTTCCAAAGTGCAAAAACACCAAATCAATTTATTCCTTGCCTTGCATAATGTTGTCGGCAGCTTCATCTTTTTCATTTTGCTCCCCAAAACATGTGATGTAGGTAAATCTCCCTGCACATTCAAACAGTGACACCTTATTTTTCAGAAAAAGAAAAAAAAAAGTTTTCTAGGACTTCGGAGATTCTCCAATGTTGAGATGATCTGAAATCAACTTTGCTTGGAGGATATTTAATTCATGTCCTCATCTTGATTCATCATACAGCTCACAATTTCTTGTGCGCCGTGTTCTAATATTTGTGAAGCATAAGCTTTTTCCAAATCAGTTTTTTATAAAGGAAGATGTAGTACTATCTTGTGAGTTTTGACCATAAACTACTGAAAATGGCAGTCATGTCTTACAAGGCCTTATACTTGAGCATTTTCTCATTGACTAGTCTTGACAACCTAATTCCTACTAATCCCAAGTTGTCTTATGGGGTGTCTCAACATGTTTTGAGTTACTTTTGATTTCAAAATGATTCTATTTTGCTCTTCAACAATATGAGCAGGTGGATCAATTTAAAGGTTCCATTTCAGGAGGTTTTTGGTGGCGTCCGCTGCAATTTAAAGGAGGCGGTTCAGCTGGCCGGACTAGCATGGGAGGGCCGTGCTCACTGTGGCCTCGACGATGCTCGAAACACCGCCCGTCTCCTTTCCGTTCTCATGCGCCAAGGTTTCCGCTTATCCATAACCAACTCTCTCACACAACATTCAATCGAACGTCCCAATCCATCATCCACTACCCAAATCCTGAAGCCAAAAGAGAAAATTTCAGGTCAAACCCCCCTCCAGTATCAGCCCTCCATGGAAGCCATGAAGGAGAGAGCCATCTACTGCTTCTGTGGGGTGAAGAGCAGTAAATGTGTGGTTAGGAAGCCAGGGCCTACACAGGGAAGGTATTTTTTTGGCTGTGGAAACTGGACGGGCAGTGCTGCCTGTGACTACTTTGTTTGGGAGGAAACTAAGAAGTCTATTGATCTTACCTCTGTACAAAAGCTGAGAATTTCTCCAGTACTCCATGGTGCTGTGATTAGTGGAAGCAATAAAGCTTAGTCGCATACTCGGTTTTGCTTCACTTATATATATAAATATATACATATATGTCTTCTATCTAAGAGAGTGAAAACTTTTATGTTAGCAACTAAGATATTTCTAGGGAGTGTCTAACCTGTAAACTCTAGACTTGTTGACAGGAGATTGAAGGATAAGATGCTGCTTAGGATGATTTAAATAGTGTAGAAATGGTTGAAGACTTGAAATTATTATCTTAAATAACAGACGACTATGAGTCTTGTTTGTTTTCTGTTATTTATAATGGAAAAGCTATCAATGCATTTCCTGTATTGACTTCTGGAACTCTAATCTTAGATGCTGGTACTCAATTCTATTGTTTTTTGTTACACTGCAGTTCTAAAAGCTATGGTGTAGGTTGTCTGAATGATGAGGATTTGTGGAAGCAAATGAAAGATGAGTTGAAAGTTTCAAATTAATTAATGGATTAAAAAAAAAGTTACAGAGAACCGATATGAACCTATAAAACTTGTGAAAATGATCGACATGGTTTCTCGACTTTTTATAAAAGATCAAAATAATTTTCAATCATATTAAATGATTGTTTTGGTTCCTTAACTCCTTACAAAAGAGTAAAAATAATCTCGTCGTGATAATGAAATTATATTATTTTGATTCCTTATTAAAAATTTAGAGATTAAAATGATGATTTTTTAATATAGTTGTTCTTTTTTATTTTTTATAAAAAAAGCAGAAGACTATTTTGATCAATTTTTTTTTTATAAAAATTAAAGGCTAGACCACTCAACCCATAAAATTGGGAGCAATTGAGCTAATTTTACTAAAAATTGCAATAGAGATAAGATGTTGAAAAAGTTTTTTTTATATATTAAATTATTCATATATATGCATTATATTTTATAATACATGTTATATAAGTATATTATCATTTATTTATCATTATTATAAAAATATGGTTGACCCCTACACATCAAACATTGTATAAAAAAGTGCAAAACAGATGAATCAAACAACGTGCGTATCGGTGCGACGCATCACTTGATGGATTAAATGACCTCCGATTGCCAAATGGGCTGCGTTATTGTAATCAGGATGTTGAGTTCACCTAAGAGGGGATTTCTCGCAGTCAAATCGGACGATATCGGTCCAAAGGAACGATCGAAACCTAAAATTGAAGCGTGACGTCGCCAAAACAAAGTCCGATCGAGTAACGGATTTTGACATTGCATCTGGAACATCACCGACACCGAAAAATCAATATCAACTTGTTCAATTGGAGTCATCTGAAGTGACAACACAAATCCCAAGGCAACAACGCCCAAATCAAGAAAATTGGTGCGCAAAGCCACCCAAACGACATTTGATTGCAAAACAGACTTCGTCCTTGCATTCAAAATGCCAACAATACCAAAAAATGACTGTCAATTTTATCAATTAAAGTCACACTGGAAGATCACCACACATCTCCAGGCAACACGTGCAAATCAAGAAAATTGACACGTTACGATGCCCAAATGGCGTCTAATCGCTAAACGGACTTCGCCGTTGCGTTTGAAATGTTGACAATACTAAAAAAATCACTACCAATTTATCCAACAAAAATCATGCACACAAATCAGTACAATTTACTAGAAGAATACCTGCAAATTAAGAAATCGGGCAAATCAAGGTCATTTTAGTTGATTGACGCATTACTGTTATCTTAAACTAATAATTAATAATAACAGATCATTAATATTACTATTAACTTATTTAAAAAAAATAATTAAATCAAATCACAATTAAATGCAAATTACCTCGGCTTCGTCGAAGCTCCGGAAAACCTCTGATTAAATCTACGCAAATTCCGCTGAACTCTGCGATCACCTCCAGCGAAACCCAGCAGCCTCCATCGTCGTCGTTTGATTGCGTTAAAATGAGTTCTCTTCCTGGCTTTCACGCTTAATACTTCAGAGCTCCTAATCCTCCCAGCCGAATCCCTTCCAACCGATGCCTGCTCTTCTCCCTTTACCCAAATCCTCTACAGTCCAGTCAACTCCTCTCCGACCACCCTGAAATCCCACCAATCAGCCCTTCTGCCCGTCCGTCCCTTACAAGACCTACACCACACGCTTCTTCCCACAAAAACTCATATCATAAAGTCCTCACAAAATGAGTGCGAAATCTCTGGGCAGTGACTTATTTACAAATCCAATCTGGCTTCTGAAAATTTACTCTGAAACTTAGGCTTCGTTTGATTCGGTTTATGCTTACATAAAAAGGAGTTTTAGAAAAGGAGGTTGAGAAAAAGCCGTTCAATAAAATGGAGTTTCAATAATGAGATATGTTTGACTAATATTTTTAAAAGTGCTTATTAATACTTGAAAGTAATTTTAAATTGTTTGTTTAGAAGTTCTGCTTTTGAGATTTTATTATAAAATACATAATTCGCTTCCGAAACTCCGTTTTGTGACCAAAGAAGCAGATACGAAAAGAATTTTGTAACCGCCAAAAAAACGATGTTTATTAAAAAGGAATTATTGTTAAGCTTTGATTCCAAACAGAAAATACTAATTGATTTCGGCGTTTTCAAACGGAAATGGAGAAAAAAGCCTAATCAAACGAGGCCTTAGGCTTCGTTTGTTTTTTTTGTGCTTTTGTAAAACACAGTTTTAAAAAACATTAGTTCAGAAAATGGAGTTTTCTAACGGAGAAGCACATTTAAAAAGCATTCTCAAAACTGCAGAAAAATGAGAAAAAGGAGTTATTGGGAACGTGATTTGACGAACCAAACAACACAAAAAAAAATTCCTCCGTTCTAGGAAACAGAGAAGGCAAAAAAACGCTCAAACAAACAAAGCCTTAATCGGTTAAAACTCTCCCGAAAGAGAGGAAGTCGGGTTTCGAATTTTCGGAGCCCACAAAAATATTATATCAATTAAATAATTTTAATTCATATCTAAATAATCAAAATGGGAAACTCCAACTAAATTCCAAACGAAGCTTTGAATCTTAAAACTTTCTATCAATTCAATGTTAGGTTTGATTCCAAAATTCTTGCTTTAAAATGATAAAATCCATTTAGAGCCCCCCTAAATAATAAAATTCTCAGGGACCTATCCATTTTCAATGAATTCAACTTTTGTAGATCAGTGAGGGTGGATGAGGGTTTTTAGCCTATTTCAAAGATGATGGCAATGAATTTGTAGAAGTAATTATACAAAGAGATATGACTATAATCAACAATTTCATTTGCATGCAAATATTTGAGCATGCATGATAGCAATAGTCAAACAAGAATGGAAAGTTTCTTGGCATTGAAAATATATATATAACAACAGTAGAAACTTGAGACCCAATAGTAAGGAACCCGTCAGGACTAAAGAGCATCAAATACAATTTATTTGAGGTTTTGGTTGAAATGTTTTCTTACTGCTTCTTAAAATAATAAAAAAGCTATCATAATTGTTTCAAAATGTCGAATCCATCTGACATAGCTTACAAGTAGAAACACAGGTTTGAACTTTTAAGAGTAACCACGAAAAGTTGTCTTTTTGTATGATAAAAATATCATATCATTTGTAATATAGATTTTCCAAATGGATGTCATTAAAGCTTGAATCTGTAATAAACTAAAGTCCAGAAGTTTCTATACATGAATCAATGATTAAAATTGTGTTTTTGGTATAGTACAGCTTTACCATCTTGATATCTAAGTTTCACTAATATTCTCAACAATCAAATCAGAAGCCCATCAAATTCAAAATTTTCCACTATCAGAAATGTGAAAATTGTACCAACTAGAATTGTAATTGAAGAGGCACGTTGAACCAAGGATCAATGGCTTGTGGATTTAGTTTTTAGTTTTCAGAATGTAGAAATTCTGAAATAAATGGGACTCATGTTAATCTCTCATCAACTCATATTTTATATCCATAAACTCAATTTCATTAGTCCTCAAACTTTTTTTTTGTAATTTCTTATCTATAAGCAGAGTTAACTGGGAAATTAAATGTGCTAAATTTTTTTTCTTCACATTGTGAATTTTTGGATTTGATCTTGAGTAAGATGATTAATAATGTTAAGGTGAAAGTTAGACTCTACCACTTAATGCTCAAGCAAATACTACGTTACATATAAGCATGCTCAATATGCACCATGTCTTAAGGAAAGTGCAATCATAATATGACATATTCATTTTAGTCAGCCAAGCTTTATGTATCTAAAAAAATTATTCCCATCTTTCAAGAATAAAAATCTATAATTATTTCAGTGTGAATTATCAACTTTTAAAACACAGCAGAAGCACATATCCGAGCTCTGCATACGAACATTCTCAATCTTTCTTTAAGACCACATTAAAATTAAATGGATCTTCTTGATGAAAGATAAATCTAAAACATATCATATTAAGAAATTCCAACTTTATATACAAACTCAGTTCCAAACCAAAATCCAAGCCCTGAGGACTAACAATGGGAAATAATGTTTCCATTCAATTCTTTGGGGCAATCTACTTCAACAAAGAATTGTACACCAAAACTCGTGTATGTATACTCACTAAAATGGGATTACTTAAAAAATAATAGACATCTTCTAAAAGTTGCTAGACCCCTCATGATTACTAGTATTGTTTCAAATCAATATTGAGAGGGATTGTCGTAACAATTGCAAATCTTATTAATCGAATACGATTAATGAGCCTCAAATTCAAAACTCCATAACAAGTTCTTCTCGAAACATACTCAAAGGATATAGTTTTTCTGTTGTTCTCTAATAATCTATAAATTTTCTACTCTTATTCATATCCTATCTCATGAATGCAACAAATTTGAGTCAAAAAGCCAATAAGTCATCTTTATTAATAATTCTCCGAACTAACAATAGTACAATTATAACTATCCAAAAAAGAATAAATTTTATACTTTCGGGAATATAACATTTATTTCAAAATCATTCTTTCTTTTCCTAAACTCACATTCAAGAAGATGATTACAACATTATTCATGAATATGAGTTTTTTTATTCATCCCACTGATATTCAACCTCTATCTCTCCTTGATCCCTATGAAGTTCAAGCCCTTAAAAAATCTCAACATTTAAGAACCAAGAGCAATATTTATGATAAAGATCAAGAACATCCAATAAGCATTAGTGAATCAAACACTCCTTCATGGCAAAACCACTCATTTGAATCAAGCTCCAATCAACATTCACAAGGTAACACTAATTCTGACCTTGACATCCCAATTAATCACATGAAAGGCACAAGAACAAAACATAATACAAAATATTCAATAATGAATAGATCTCTTATAACAACCTAACTTATTAGTTTAAGGCTTTTATAATCAACTTTTCTAATATGAACATTCCAATAATATTTATGAAGCATTAAAAATACCTGAATGGAGAGACACTGATTATGATGAAATGAAATCACTTGAAAGAAAAGATGAGCATGGCAACTCATGATTTTACCAAAGGGGAAGAAATCTGTAAGGAAATGGATCTTCAATATAATATACAAAGTTGATAGGAGTAAAAAAGATATAAAACTAGACTAATTGCAGAAAAATTTACTTAAACTAATGACATAGATTATCAAGACGCATTTGCATCAATTGTTAAGATTAATAATGTCCAAGTCATCCTCTCTCTATCCGAAATTTTTGATTGACCTCTTCACCAACCAAATGCCAAAATATATTTCTAAATAGAGATTTAGAAGAAGCTAGATTTGAGACCACAAATGATAAAGGTAAAGTTTGTTAACTTTTGAAATATTTCTACGGCCTAAAGAAATCTCCAAGAGCTTGGTTCGGGAGATTTACCACTACAATAAAAAATATGGCTACACTCAAGGGCAGGCTAATTATAACTTATTTGTAAAGAAATCACATGTTAGTCATATCACTATCTTGATTGTTTATGTGGATGATATTATTCTAACTGGCAATGAAGAGGTAGAAATCAAGTTACTAAAAGCAATTTTAGCAAATATATTTGAAATTAAAGATCTAGGAGTCTTTAAATATTTTTTGGGCATGAAATTTTTTTTAAAATGATGGGATGTAAACCCACAAATACTACCATATATCATATCAAAAGAATAGGATCAAATGTTGATACTCTCTAAGGTGACAAAGAAAGATACACATCCTGATTGGAAAACTTACTTCTCTCATACTCTTCCTGACATACATTGCTCTATCAATGTGATTAGCCAATTTATGAATACTCCAACTAAAGAACGCCTTGATGCAGCATACTAAGGTACCTAAAAGAGACATTCGATAAATGGTCTACTTGTCATAACAAAAACAAATATGAGTATAAAATTTTCACTGATGTTGATTGGGCTAGCTATTGCTCGTTTGTGTTAGGAAATTTCGTTTGTGTAAGAAAAATGATTAAGAGGTCATTCAAATATAGTACTTTTATAAATCTTCAAAAGCAAATATCCTGACCACTGTCTTCGATCAATCATAATTAAATACCATAACTTCTAGGCTTTGAACGATAAACATATATTCATAATTTGAGAGGGAGTGTAAAATTTATGTAATGAGTGGGACCTATGCAAATCTCTCATCAAGCTTTCCATATGCTCCGAATATTCCAATCACAAGATGATTATTCACCTCAATAATTGTACTATGATTATTCATATTTTGTCTGTCTAAATTATTTACTTAATTCTAGAACTAGTAATTGATTATAGTTATCTCCTATAAATATGTAATCATCTTGTAGTTTGAAATAAGAAATTCGGTTGAAGTTTCTTTTATTATTTTTAATATAGAAGATAAGGGGGATTAAGGTTGAATAAATCAATCAAATCAAAGCCCCTTACATGAGGAGCTCGATAGTGTTAGGTTGGGTTGTTCGTTGTAGTTTGTCTATTTTGGAATATGAAGTTTGAATTTTTTTTGGCATAATATTTGTAAACCATACTTTGCGTAAAAAGAATGATTGAATTTTGGCATAATATTTGTAAAACCATACTTTGCATAAAAAGAATGATTGAAATTTCGTTCTATGCAATACTCAACATTATTGTCGTATTTAATGCATTGGTAAAAATTAAAGGGGGTCATTCTATGTTCGTGAAGTCATACTCTATCACGAAGGGCCTTAAAAGAAACATATGAATTGATGATGTAGAAATCAAGCTTCAGTTTTAAGTCCACCTATCTAAAGTGAAAGGGTGACTAAATCTAAAGGCTTCTCACCATTTTTGAGTTAAGACGGCAAGATAATTAAATAACATAGACCATTTTAATGTGAATAGGACAGTGTGATCAGTATAGATAATGGCTACCTAAAATCTTGAATAAAAATAGTTACCATAAAAGGCAAATAATGCACGGAATCTTTGGCCGAATCAATGGGGCACATAAATAATTACCATGATAATTGAAAAGAATTCAAATGTAATTGTGGTATGCTGACTACAGTTGTAAAACATAGTGAGCAACAAAGGGGATAATTTATTGAACAATTAGTATTTCAGTCTGGCCTAAATAACAAAGCTTATACATGCTACAATAATAATTTTGTTCTTTGTTACAACATATAATACACATAAAGGAGTGAATCACCGCACCTATCATACATTTTTACAAGATTAGAAAGCTGGTCGGCCATGATCTTCCAAGTCAGAAATCATACAAGAAAATCAAGTGACCATTTCGATCAAAACAAAATGCTGCATTAAATTCTTTCGATTGAGATTATTTGAATGTGATGCAGACTTACAATAGAATCATTCAAATGTACCATTACTCACGAGGACGGGCGAGCCACAGAGAACTAAGTGCACGGAGCCTTGAAAAATAATCATGTATGGAAAGAAGAGCTCGAGCTGATTGTCGAGTCGTTAATATTCGGTGCATTTGTTGCAGGGTTTGTTGTCGCAGGTTGTCAGCCTAGAAACCAAAATAACCAATAATAAGATACGTCAAAATTCCTGCAAACATTATTTAGATGCATTTGAGATATTAGGAGAAAAATATGCAAGCACCTGCCGAAGGAAATTTTCTAGAGTGCCAAGCTTTCCCATGGCCATAGCCATCTGTCCCATGTAGTTTGCTACATTACCAGAGGAGCTAGAGGGGCCAGGAGAACCAGCCAAAGTTTCTGCCAAAGACTGTTGCAGAGCCTCCATGCCCTGCGAAAGGGCATCTTCTGCCTGTTGAGAAGACTGCTGGAGGTTGCAAATTCCCACCAACTGCTGCTCAGTCAGAGGTTCCAACTGATTTACCAGAAGCTGCAAAGTTTCCATAAGCTAGGATTAAACTTCGGTTAGAAAAAGGGGCCAATCTAATGCACGAGATTTTCTGTCATGTAAGGTCTGAGGAGGGAAAAATTATTCTGTCCGGACAGCGTACCGAGGGTACCAAATGATACCGTGGTCGGCACCGAGAGCGGTACCAAGCGCCAAGTGATGTGGCGTTTTTTTATTGGTCTCTGGACACATTCGGTGTCCGGACACAATAATCACTCCTGAGGAGGGTCTCAACCCTACATTACAGATAGATTATTTCGTGATTTGAGATCATGATTCAAAATCACAGTAGAGGCAATCTAATCATTACTCCAGACCAGCCTCAAACTTTAGTTATAAAGAATAATTATCTAACTCCTGATCAGCCCTAGGGTAAGAGCCTCATACGCTTGATACGCTCTTGGGGTACATTAGGTTGTGAGCAAAGAGAGAAAAAAAAAAAAAAAATTGGGCCTAAACGGGCATAGGGGTATTTAAATAGTTGGGTGTAAATGCATCTTAAAGTCAGAAGCTGCCTACAGTTACTAGATGGCTCACCAAACAACAGCACCTAGCTTCAAAGTTTGATTGTTTGTTATGAAATCACAGCAATGCCCAGAGGCTTAAAAGCCTATATGTCATCGAGTATTATATGTAATCAAGGAGATAATAAAGTTTCCGCATGGAATTAAATGCTCTTATCACAAAGTAAAAAAAAAAAGACTTTGTGACTTAGGGGATCAATTTTTAACAGTAATTAAATATTCCTTTTATTTTTTTAAATATGTATACGGTATTGCAAGATCATATGCTACAACAAAATTAAGCATGGCTTCTCCAATTGCATTTCTATCTCCTCATACCCACCATGAATTATCTCATAATTCTTCATATTAAATCATGTGTCCATCTAAGTCACCCTCATAGACTGTCTTCTAATCCAACTCGACAACATAAACTAAAACACGTTTATTATGTCCTTACCAATAACCAACTTCATAGCGACCAAGTATCACTATCATTTTCATCTTTCAATTCTCTACCACTACTATCAAAATCTCATTTCTCTTATAAGCATTTCCAACATAGAATGACTAATAATTTTTGGCAATACCAAATTTTTAGCTTTCCATTTAGTTTCTTCCAAAATAAATAACATTTATAATTCTTCTAATCATTGCGTCCATCAATTCTCTTCCCTCCCCATTTAATGTCCCCAAATCCACTTTTAATTTATATAGTCTTAATTTAGACTTAGTCAAACCTTATTTAATTTTCATCGCAACTGAATTAAGTTATGATGCTCCATTTATGTGAGAAGATTCATAATATGATTGAAGGCCGCCCCCCCCCCCCCCCCAAAAAAAAAAAGTAAAAGAAAGGAGAGAAGCAAAAAAAAGTTATAGAAGAGTGGAAAGCTAAGACAAAAAATAATGAAATATGATGAACATATTAAGAATAATGCCACATTCTTGATCTTATTTATAAGCGCTAAATATCGGAAATTGTAACAAGTCAACGTACTAGTGCCACTAAGTTCACGATAGTTTACCTTAAGATCAATCTCATAACTTAAGACTGAACTTTTGCTAAATCATGGAACTTATGGAAATACATGATAATTTTACGGCGCAAGCTTTTAGTTCAAAACAAAAATAACTCATTCCATAGACTAGAAGAAAAATATGCACTGTTTATGTCACCTTGAGAAGTTCTGATGAACGGAAGCCACCCAACCAAAGAAAACACCTCTCTGCAGGCGTCTTCCACATGCCAGAAAGAATGTGAAAAACATCTGCCTTAGAAGCTATTCCCTTCAGCCTGAATATCTCATCATACTGTGCCGTTATCCCATCAACTATCACACGAAGATCATTATCACTGGCACGAGCATTCACGGCAGCCCTCAGTTCACTGATCAGCCGGTTATGTTCTTCCAGCCATCGTGCATATTCTATGTCAAATGCCAACGCTCCTGCAAGACAAAATTTCTCAAAGAAATCCTAACCAAATCAAGCTAGTAATTATTTGCAACCCTGCAAGCATTTCTAATGGGAATCCCCTATCCTTCAAGGGTGTACCGCTTCGGGATTTGGGATCCCTTTGGTTGTGTGCGCTGGTGGCAGGATTGGTGTTTGAAACCAATACATGCAGTGCAGCAGATGACCTTCTTTTGCACCGCATGCTAATAACTAACAACTTATGCATATTAGAAAGGATAAGAAATTATGCCAATCCCAATGCATGGTAAAGCTACAAAGGGAACTATCTTCTTTCCAAGGTCTGGTTCAGGCTACAAGAAAATAAGGAAATGAGAAACAGAAAGGAGTAACAACTTTAAGAGTGCATTTGATAACAACTTCCACAAGAAAGCAGAAGCCATGTGACATTCACATCAAATTCAGGCAAGGGTTCTAGCATTTTTTTGTTTTTTGGGGCGGGGTAGATAAGAGGAGGCTTCGCATACAGCAATTGCCCCATGGATTACTTAAGGTTGGAAATAGCTTCATATTTAAAAGGGTGGCAGAAGGAAGGGGTACCCATTAAGGAATTTATTAAGTACATCTTCAATCTAGTGGTGAAAGCATACTTTTCTAAAACGGTGATCAATGAAGAAAACAGATGAAGGACGGTGCAATCACATATTGACAGAAATGAATTGTGTATGGTGCAATCACATATTAAAAGCGATGGATTGTATGTGTTCAGACGAGGTGATATTCTCGAGACAGCAAGCACAATTAGGCAGAAACTGATATACCATTTCCACTCATCGAGTGTGATTGATCCCCGGAGCTTGAAAGAAAAATTCCCTGCAAAATAATTAATTTAAGAAACAAATCAGCGGAAAGATATTCAGACTTAAGGTTGGAGCAGAAATGTACATGCCTGCTGGCGTGCCCTCTGAAACTCCTGCTCAAGTTGAGTTAACTTTAACCTACTATTTTCTAGTTGTTGAACATAAGCCTGTTACACCATCAGAACCATGACTATAATAGTATAATGTAAGACAGCAAGGTTATAAAAGGAGAATTACATAGGACCAAAAAAAAAGGAAAATTGTCAAGTTAGGTAAGTAAAAACTTGAAATTTAATAACTTAGAACCTCGTTTCCACAGACCATATGATGGATGATAAAAAAATATCTTTGCACAGACAATGCAACAGAACGAAATTTTATTATTGGAGTTTATAAGTTTTTATATTTCCATGAAATGATAATTTGAAAGAAAATATCATGGAGAGTTTTAAGTTTTTTTTTTTTACTTTAAACAAAACAATGTTAACGGGTATTGTTCAACATACTTCAGTACTATACCAATACTAAAGAATTAAGGTTCTTGTAAAATCCCACTGAATTAGGAATTAGTTTTATTTATTTGATTATTTTAACATTATTTTAATTATTTCTTTTATCTAAGGCCCTGATTAGTTTTTATCAAAGTTAAAACTATTTGAGATACAGTCCTAAGCCTAAATAAGATATGTAATCATTTAATTCTAAATGACGAATAGATGAATTAAATTTATATTTTGGATAAGGTACTCTATAAACATGCAATTTTATTCTACTTTAGAGTATTGCCACTAATATTTAAAAAAAGGACAGAAGTCATTTTGTTTTTAACTTGGATCATAATTTGGTCATTTATCAAGAAAATCACCAGTTGTGTGCTGGTAAAATAAGTCATGTCAAATACATGACATAAATTAAAGATTAATGTCGTCATTAAACTGATAAAATTATCGATTGATCAATGATTTGCTAGTGTCATGACATACTCTTGCCAGTTTTATTATTTTAAAGACCACATTATTTTTGATTCATCATAACTATTTAGTGTGATATGTTCATGAAATGAACAAGATAAGATTCTTATTTCATATTTATCTAAGGAAAATACATTAAAAAAAATTTATTACTATATATATATATATATATATATATTTTATCACTATTGTATATCCATATCAACAAGGATCATTTTAATTAGCTCGCTTTCTACATTATCATCAATATTTAAGGAGAGGTCTTTAAATATTTAATTAAGAAAATCATTCAATATTTCCACTAATCATGTGGGGCACCAATCAAACCTCCTTCAAAAAGTCATGAGAAAATTTCTTTCATGACATTGTAGCTTCGAGTCCTTCACTTCGCTCAAGCAATAATATGCTAAGGATCTATTGAAGTTTTCTATTGTGGTCAAACATTTTTTCTCAATTTAAGCTTATAGGAAGGCAGTCTTTTTCCCTTGAAGACTTACGTGGCGTTCAAAGAATCTAATACCACATTTCTTAAAGTCTTCTATAACATCTTAATGAATGCCAATGAAGTGCTGTGCGTTTTCCCTACAACTTCACATATGAAGGATAATTTGATATTTTTGGTAGAGACACACTAGAGCTTGCAAGAGGGAACTACACTTTGCCTATACTATATAAAATTTAACCTCTTTTGTAAGGAATTTAATCCTACGAAGGGAGAATTGGGAGGCGTGAGTTTTCCCACAAATCCATCTGTGAAAGATAGTTTATTATTCTTGATAGAGACAATTGGAGCCCACGAGGGGAAACTACACTCAGCTTATACGGGATAGTGTTTACTTATGAGGGACGAATTAAGAGGCATAAGTTTTCCCCACAACTTCGCTCATGAAGAATTGTTCATTACTCTTGGTAGAGAAATGATAGAGCCTGTGAGGGAGAACTATGCAGCGCCTATGCGGAATAATGTTCAATATGTTTTAAGAGAAGAAGCTAGAGCTTACAAAGAAGAATTGAGGTGTAAGTTTCCACCATCTCCCATATGAGGTATTTATACTTAAAGCGGTGAAGATGAGTAACAAAACTTCTTTGGATTTTTGCAAATTTTTTGACAATTTTTTTTGTTAAATGTCTTTATTCAATTTTAAAAATGCTTTTACATTTTTATTTAAAAAATACACGAAATGTTCATTTCCTAAGAAAGAAATTTGAAAAAAAAATTCTAAATGATGTGTTGGACCATGCCTCACGCGAGCACACAATATATTTTCAAGCAACATCAATTTCAATATTCAAAAGTAGGGGAAAAATGATACGTCACCAAAAAATTGATAGGATATCAGTGCAGAAATTAAGAAATCCTTGGATAAATTTGCAAATTTCAGCAAGGATCAAGCAATTTTTGAGAGAAATCCCTAGGCAAGACACTAGGGAGCTTGATAATTGATAGGAAAATAGAAGAAAAACAACAAGATACAATGGATCTTCGATTCAAGAGGAAGATCCGGCTCTCCAAATCTCTAGCCGATAGCTAGAGCCCAAACACCTAAGAGAAAACTCAAAAAATCAGCAAACAATCACATAACCCTAACCCTAATCCTTTCTCTCCTATCAGAGAATACAAATTAAAAGCATAATTACTAAAAAGCCCTTCCTTGATTAATTTTCCTCCAAAACCATCCACTCCTATTTGAATTTTCCATCAATGCATGTGCCCCACAAGGGGGGCCGGCTGCTCCCTGTCCGCCTAGATTAAATCAGGAGCTGGCCCTCATTTGGTGCCGGTTGGACCGGTCCATCTTGGACGGTCAATCAATACCCCCCTCCCAAAGAACCACATTGTCCTTAAGGTGGAAAGACGAAAACTGGTGTTTCATCTGCTCATACAACTCCCAAGTTGCATCTTACTCCAGTAAGTTTTTCCACTTAATCAGCAATTCCTTACTTCCTCCTTCCCCCTGTCATACTCCTATCAACTCTAATGGTTCCAGAACCACCTCTAAGTCCTTTGTCAGCGTCACTAGTAGCTCTACAATTGAGGTGTGCTCCCTTATAGCTCTTCTCAACTGTGATACATGAAAGCTGGATGTATGGTCGTAGTTGGCAGTAGCTTCAATAGATATGCTACTGCTCTGATCCTCTCCAACATCACAAAAGGGTCAAAGTATTGTGGGGCGAGCTTCTCGTTCCTCCTAGCTACGGTCTGTTGCCTGTAGGGATGAAGTTTCAAATACACCTTATCCCTTACCTCAAACTAAATGTATTTCATGTGCTCATCAGCCTGCCTTTTCATAAACTGTTGGGCTCTCAATAAATGTCTTCACAGTTCTTCTAAAATCTTGTCCTGCTCCTCCAGGTACTACTCCACTGAAAAGATTGATGTGGTACCCTGCCCAAAGTGCACCAAGTGAGATGGATCCCTGCCATACAATACTTCGAAAGGAGTTATCTGGAACGCCGAATGATACAAATTGTTGTACCAATATTCTGCCCACACCAATCACTTAGCCCACATCCGAGGGGTCTCTGAAGCAAAACATCACAGATATGTCCCTAAATTCCAGTTGACCACCTCCGTATGACCATCAGTTTAAGAGTGGTAAGCGGTGCTCCTCTTAAGCACATTCCCCTTCAACCTAAACAACTCCCTCCAAAAGTGACCGAAAAACATCTTGTCTAGATCATACACTATAGATTATGGTATCCCGTGTAATTTGACCACCTCTCTAATAAAAGATGATGCACTATTATTGTCGCGTAAGTATGTCGTAGAGGGATGAAATAAGGATATTTGCTCAGCCTGTCCACTACTACCAGAATAATTGTGAACCCTTTAGATTTTGGTGGCCCATTTATGAAATCCATGGAAACATCTTCCCATACTATGCCTGGGAGTGCCAATGATTATAGTAGCCCTCCTAGAGTCATTGTCATATAGTTGTTCCACTTACACACCTCACGCTTGGTCACCATCTCCTCAACATCCTTACGCATCCCCTTCCAGTATAATTCAACATCCAATCTTATGTATGTCTTATATACATCCGAATGGACCACAACAGCGCTCCAGTGGAACTCCTGTAATAGGTGCGCGATATGAATTAAAGTTTGTGGCAGCACAAACCTCCCATAATATAGAAGTCTCTCCTTATTTATTGAATAGCCAGTGGCTACTCCCATCTTTCAACAGGTCCTCTCTGATCTATCTCAGCTCCTAGTCCTACACACTCTCTTCTATAATGGCCCCCCAATCCAACATGAATGAAATCGAAATGGTAATCATTGGAATTCCCCCACATATCTAGACAAGGCATCAGCCACCTTGTTTTTAAGCTCTGGTCTATATTTTATCTTCTCAAAATCATATCCCAACAACTTTGATAACCACCTATGATGCTCCTCAGTCACCATCCTCTGCTCTAGTAAGTACTTCAAACTCCTCTGGTCGGTCATGACAATCAAATGTCGACCAAATAGGTACGGGCACCACTTTTGAATAGCCAATAAAATGGCCAACAATTCCCTCTCATAAACTGACTTCAGCCTCGCTCTGATTGTCAACACCTGACTGAAATACACTATGGGTCTCTGATTTTGCATGAGCACTATCCCCAACTCATACCATTAAGCATTAGTTCCCACTATGAACATCTGGCTGAAATTGGGTAATGTTAGGACCAAAACGGTGGTCATGGTTGTCTTTAATCTCTCAAAGGTCTGAATATTAGCCTTTCCCCACAAGAATCTATCCTTATTTAGCTGCTTTGTCAAAGGCCAAGCAATGGTGTTGTATCCCTTCACAAATCTTCTGTAGTATCCCGTCAATCTTAAGAATCCCCTTAGCTCCCTCAGGTTCCAAATTAGAGGCCACTTCAGTATTGCCTCGATCTTGGCCTTATCAACGGCCACCCCTTCCTGGGTTACCACGTGCCCAAAATACTCTACAATCGCATGTGCAAAACAAAACTTCTTCAAATTGACCATCAGCTGATGCTCCTATAACACTTTTAAAATCGCCCTTAGATGCTCCAATGCTCCTCACTAGTCTTGTTATACACTAAGATGTCATCAAAGAAAATTGGGACAAACTTCCTGAGGTAAGGTCAGAATACCTTGTTCATGAGGGATTGGAAGGTAGCAGGGGCAATGGTAAGATCAAACGACATCACCAAGAACTCATAGTGTCACTCATGTGTCTTGAAAGCTGTCTTTGGAACATCTTCCTCCCATCTGAATCTAATGATATCCAAACTTTAGATCCATCTTCGTGAATACCGCCACTCTACAAAGCTCATTTATCACTGTAACAAGAAACTTGTCTGGCACAGTCTCCTTATTTAATGTCGGGTAGTCCACACAAAATTGTCAACTCACGTCCTTCTTTTTAACAAGAATAACGAGGATAGAAAAAGAGATCACGCTCGACCTGACGATCCCAGCCTCCAACATTTCCCAAATTAGTTTTTCTATCTCATCCTTTTGAATATGTGGTTAGCGGTGAGGCAGACTGATCGGTGATACCCCCTCCCTCAGTGTGATGACATGCTTCTATCTCCTCTGTGGTGGTAATCACCGAGGCTTTCAAAAACTCTCAAAAAACTGTTGTATAACTAGTTTTACTAAAAGAGGGATGCCCCCTCCTTCCTCCCCTCTGATCCCCTCCAAGCTCTGTAGCTCTACCATAAACCCTCCTCCCTCCCTCTCTCCTGGATGGATCTTACCATGATTTTTAGTGACACCATGGCTTTGGAGAGTCCCGCATCTCCTTTACTCACCACCTTTCTCCTTTCCACCATCAGCTCCATGGTTAACATCCCCCAATTTACCTTGGTATCCCCCAAGGTTTGTAGCAATCTCATCCCCAGGATGACATCAGCGCTTCTAAGCTCCAATGGGGGAAATTCCTCCCTCACATGGATCCCATGTATGATCAAGAACACTCCTTTACACACCCCTCTACCTGTCTCCATCTTCATTATCTCCATCATCACCCCATAGCATCTTGTGTCCATCAGTTTCAGCCCCAATTGGTCTATAACCTAGTTGGAGATGAAGTTGTGGGTGGTCCCACTATCTATCAACACCACTACCTACTTGTCTATTATTTCTCCTCTCACCTTCATAGTGTGATTCAGAGTGAATCCCACCACTGAGTTTAGAGAGACCTCAGCCATGTCTAAATACAACTTTTCTTTCTCTGACAATGTCTCACTCGCACCTCCCTCCTCACTTCCTTGTCATCACAAACGGTGAGAACCTGAAGAGTTCGGTACTTACATTTATACCAAGACGTGTACTTCCCATCACATCTAAAACATAACCCCTTTGTCCGCTTCTCCTGCACCTCGGCCTCTGTGAGTCGCTTGAAGTTGCCCCCCGAGAGAACCCCACCACTCTTCTCCCTAGGCGCTTCTCTCTAGAAGGATATTGTTTGGGTTCTGAGCGCTAGAGTTGTAGGGGTACTCCGATAGCCCCTCCCATGATATCGCTTCTAATGGTCTTTTCCCTCTTACATTTTCCTCCACCCTCTGAGCCAGCGCCATCGTCTCTCTCAGCCCCATAGCCTCAGTACCCTGAGTTTGACCCATATGTTCTCCCTCAATCCCTGAATGAAATTCCCCTCTAATCCTTCCTCAGAGATCCCCCTCAGTCTCTCTGACAGTAGCTCAAACTTCTCTCGATACTTCATAATTGTCACATACTGAGTTAGAGCAAAGAACTGCTCGTGAAGGTGTCCTTCCTGGATGGCTTGGAAATGTTCCAACAAGCACTCCTTGAATTCTCCATATGAGTAGATTGGAAACCTCACCTCCCTCCATTGGAACCAGGCTAAGGCTTTCCCTTCCAAACATAGACCCGCCACTATGAGTTTCTCCTCATCAGTCAGTCCATTGATGGCAAAATAACGCTCAACCCGGTACACCCAACCTTGAGCATCCTCCCCTTCAAAGACAGACATCTTTAGCTTCCTTGCCCGTGCCTTCCATATCCCATTGGCTTCTTCCCTCGTTGTTTCCCCCTATGTAGTAGTGGTGTGCTTCCCTTCCTTCCTCTTGGTTGGCTTTGACCCCATGCCTCACCCCAACTATGCCCTTCGATTTAAGAGGAAGATCCAGCTCTCCAAATCTCTAGATGGCGGCTAGAGCCCAAACACCTAAGACAAAACTCAGAAAATTGGCAAACAATCACATAACCCAAACCCTAATCCCTTCCCTCCTATTAAAGAATACAAATTAAAAGCATAATTACTAAATAGCCCTTCCCTGATTAATTTCCCTCCAAAACCGCCCCCTCCTATTTGAATTTGCCATCAATGCATGGACCCCACAAGGGGGACCAGTTAATCCTTGTCTGGCTAGAGTAAACCAGAAGCCGGCTTTAGTTTGGGGCTGGCTTGATCGGTCTATCAAAAATCCATTGGATTAAATACAAATCTTGATGTAATATTTGAGTTAGAAACTTCCAAAATTAAATTCAAGTCCATCTAAACTCTAATTTTGACAAACTTAAAGTCGAACTTAATATCTTGATGAGACAACTCCAATGACATCCAAAGTGTTCCAACCCAAATTTAAATGAGCTCAAATCAAACACTTAAAGTGCAATTAAAACTTCGAGAAATCAATTGAAGAACCAAATGATCTTTTATTTGTGCATGCTCGATGACAGAAAACTAACGAGTCCAATATAACTTAATTTTGAGGGCATTAAAACACTTAAATGCTGAAATAATAATATATGATCAAAAGAATTAATAAGGGCTGTCTAATGAATTGTTTTAAGAATTTAGCTAAAATTATAAAAATGTAACTCTGAAAAACTATACATAGGCTCCATTCTCAACATTAAAGGGTAATTAATATGAGATTAAAGAGAACTTGGAAAACTAAAGAACTCTAGAGCTCTATTGGACATTCAATGTCGACAATCACACAACCAACCACCATAGTTTGACCACAATTTCATGTCCATCATCGTCTAATCACCATCACTCAGCCATCATATTCGATTCACCATCCTCCGACCGCATTTATATGATTATTGATGCTTACCTGTCATCAACTAACTATCATGATTTGACTCTCGTAATTTGATCGTTGTCATCCTACCACCAACACCCGAATAGCATCATCCAAACGTTGTTGTCCTCCAACATGCTCAGCCGGCAAAAGAGATCAAGTTAGTATTCTAAGTGTTGCAATCACATTTTCTCCAATTAAGGATAATAGCATATCTTTGCAATCACTATTTACCTAGTGGATCATTTCATATAGCCTAGGCTCTATGGCTTTTTCCCTTTCTGGGCTTTCCACGCAAAAACTCAGGTGTGTCTCCATTCTTTTCTTTTACATGTTTGTGTAGGGATGCAAAAGAACCGAACCGAGCCGAGTATGTGAGTGTTCACGTTTGGGTTCGTTTATTATTAGCTTGTTCAAGTTTGGTTCATGTTTGATTCAAGCTTTATTGTTTGTGTTCATATTTGTGTTCATGTTTGGTTCATTTAAATTAATGGTGTTCATGTTTGGTTCATGTTCGGTTCGTTTAGTGCTTATCGAGCTTTAAACAAACAAGAATTAACGAGCTCTGTTCGTGAAAATATTTAGGGAATGTTTTTAAACTATCAAGCAAGTATGTTCATGAACAAAACTAACGAGTATTTTTAAGCTATCAAATGAACAAGATCTAACGATGTAATGATAAATAAGCAATTGTAAGGAAATTAAAACTACAACATATATTATAATATTTAATTACTTTAGAATTTATCAATTAAAAATAATTATATCATTATGTTATAATAAATTAAAATATTTATATTATGTATATTTATCACTTTTATAATAAAATATTATTCGTGTTTTTATCGATCTTATTCACGAGTTATGAATCGAACACGAATCGAGCTTAATGTCGAGCATGTTCACGAGCTTCAAATGATGTTGTTCATGAACATAAATGAACCGAACACATCAATGTTCAAACTTGTTTATTTAAGCCTCTTTTTTTTTTTTGAATTCCATTGTTTCTTTTATTTGTTTTCTTTGTTGAATGGTAGTTACTCAAACGAAACGGTGTGTCGTTCTGTGAAGTGGGGCCGGCGGAGACAGCAAAGAGAGGAGTCGGTTTCGATCTCTCTCTCTTTTTTTTTTTACTACTGCTTCTTTCTCTTTTTTTTTATATAGTCAACAGTATTAAAAATATTGTTCAAGTTTGTTTGTTTAATTAGTTAAATGATCACAAACGAGCTTTAATTGAATTGAGCAACGAGTAGCTCGTTGAGCATTTGGTTCGCTTGCAGCCCTATGTTTGTGTGTGGGTCGTCGTACAAAACTATAATGTAAAACTCTCTCTCTATACATGATCTTTCTAGCATGCCAGCCAATCAATTTTCCTAGGACATTGATATAATCAATCCTTACAAGGAATTAGCTGCTTTATATACTAATCAAAAGCTTGGGCTTACTTGCCTTTATATTCCCATTTTTCTCACTTTCTATAGTAAACACAATCACTTTGATCACATTTACGTTCCACTTCAAAAGATGTTGCCAAATTTACAACGTCTTTGCAATGCCTACAAAATAATCGCCTAACGTTCACTTTTCATTAACTCTTTTACATACATCCTCTCTCACTCCAGACAAGCAGCCTCTAATCAACCCAAGACAATGAACTCAACAGATTAACTAAGCATTCATAAGAAAAAAAAATTCTTTTCACTCATAACAGTAATGAAATTAAGAAAAAGCGATGAATTAGGTCCTGTTACCTTTTTCCTTAATCTACTTTTTCTAGCAGCTTCACGGTTTTGAGCAAGCCGTCTAAGAGTCTGCAAATAAAAATATTTATTTTTAAGAATAAAATTTGGTTATGAAGGAATAAATACAACATGTTGTTTGAATAAAGCTGATTTTTTATTTTTGTTTTACTTTCTGATCTCCTACTTTTTCTTTTGATCTGCCGCTAGAATCAGAAGCTGTTACAGCAATACCTTGTCCTTTATCAAACTGTGAAGTGGAATTAGCGAGGGTTAACAAGAGAATTAAAAAAAACATCTAAAATCAAAACGAAAGTAGCATCAACATAGACTGAAGCAAAGAACTCTCTTTATTAATAAAAAAAGGCAACAGAAATTACTTGGTGCATTCTAAAAAATGAAAGCATAAAACATATTTACAAAATATCGTAACATTATTTTACAAAATAGGAAGGTAACAAGATCATGAAAATATAAACAAAACCAAAAGTAAGTTTTGCCAGAAAATGCACTTGGCATCAAATTATAAAATTCATCAAAGAAGGATTTAAAGGCAAAAAAAACGAAGTAAGAAGCAAGAAAAAAAAAACGATAACATGAAAAAAGGAAAGTACAAAGAGAATAAGCATGCCGCTCAAGCACTCACCAAAGAAGCCAAGAACCAAGATTTGCATATAACTTAAGGATTAATATTTAATACCAACCATAACATCATGCAAAAAACAAACATGAACCGGCTAAATCTTCCCCTTTGAAGGTTAGAAGTGAAAGTTAAGTATATTCTGAACATGTCAATTCTTGCCTCCAATTACAAGTTCATAAAAAGAAAGTTTTTCTGCAGATTTCGTTCTTCTTCCAATCCGTGGCACTAACAGCAAATAGCACCCAAGAAAAGAAGAGGAGATCAAGGATCTCCCTCTAGTAACAACATCACAACATTTCCACACAACATTAAAGTTCAAAAGTAAAGGTCTGCAATGAAAATATCAAAAGAAATAAAAAAAAAAGAAAGAGGATCAAGTACTCTACCAAAGAATTTATTTCAATTGAAAAATATTCATAAAACAAGGTCTCTAAGGAGAGAGACAAAAACTAAATACAACAATCTTAAAGTAACTCAGAAGCTATCACAACTCAAATACAAAAATACACGAAGGAATAGAAGAAATCTGCTACGCTTAACCCATAAAGGCCAGTGTTCCGCCCACATTGGACGTAAATAACAAGCATAAATTTCATGAGCATAAGAACTATCTTTACTAGGAAGCAGGGAAAGAAGTGCAAATCAAAACTTAAAACAAAACCTGTTTGCATACTGGACGACACCAAGTGCAGAGAACAAATTTAACTTCATTGATTGCCACAAAAAGTAGGTAATTGGTTCACCATGTGGCACGACAACCATTAACACCAAAAAGAAAAGAAATATTTTTCCAGAAATACTATCTAAAAGAGATCATATAATAACAGAATATCACCCTATCGTTCCTGTCATCAATATCCACATCCGTGGAGGTATCAGTCCTAGGACTGTTGTCTGCCATGGTTGAATCTCCCCAGTTCTCAAATTGATCACTGGATAAAGGTATTAGACTAGTTTGCTTTCCCTTCTGCTGGTCAAAAGTCACAGAACTAATCCTAGTTGCTGGAGCAGTATCAGTTGACGAGCTCTGCCATTTAAGAATTATAAATAAGACCATTTTTTTCTATGAGCAGACAACACAGATTAAAGGACCAATAGCAGCTGCAAGGGTACACACAGATTATTTTCAACTTACTTTGACAAAAGCACCAAATTGAAGAGAATATGAAGCAAAGGCCTGGCCACTTGGTTTTTTGTTCAATAAAGGACCTGCAAAGAAGAATATTGATCGATGAACTGATTCAATCAAGAGAGAGAGAGAGAGAGAGACTCCAAGTTTGAAGAGATAGACACTTGAAGCAGGAGCTAACATTTTCAAGTATCAATCGCACATTAAAGAAAAAAAAGACATTATGGTGCATTTTAATGAAGAAGCGCATATATATATATAACATGAGAGGGAGAGAGACTTTCCTCCTAGGAGGAGGAAACATACTCTCCATCAATTTTCACTAACGTTGGATTAAAGATAAGATCGACTAAAATGTTATGAAAAGAATATATGTTTTGATATTTACATTATACAAATGTAAATGACAGCAACTCAAATCCCTTTCAACTCCTTCCTAACATAGCACCGGTAATCTTGAATTCCAAAACATAGGAGATACCAACCTTCTAAAAAGAGAGATCAATTTCCAAACATAGCTACCTTAAATGAAGCAATCATACCCTAGGGCCTAGGGGAGAGAATCCTCTCCTCATTATGATCAGACTCGATCTTTGAAAAGCCAATGTCGAGCTCAAATCTTCTAATAGCAAGCACATTCTCAACAATGGAGAGTCGCATGGTGAATAGAAAGGGCCCGAAGAGAAAAAGGATAGTTGTTTAAGGAGATTCTTAGACGACCAATCTGTAAGATCGGGTCCCTCTTGGGCCGGTCCTACCGGTCCATTCCTGGACCGGCTCTAAAGGGCTAATTTGGAGGGGATTAATTAGAAAATGTTTCCTAAGGGTAGATTTTGGGGCTGATTTTGAGGGGACTAATTAGGAAACATTTCCTAATTGAATAGGAAAGATTTGGAGGCCGATTTGAGGACTAATTTGGGAGGAAAATAATTAGGAAATTAGGGCAGATTTGGGAGGGAATTGGGGGATGGTTGTTTGGGTATTTGTGATTTATTGTATGCTTTAAGAAGGGGATTTTTCTAGGGTTAAGAGTATGTGTTGTTTGGTGAAATTAGATTGTTCTTAGGGTGTTTGGGCTCTTGTTGATTGCTAGAAATTTGGGAGAGCCTGTTCTTCCTCTCCAATTGAAGATCCACTTGCATCTTATCTTTTCTTTCATATAACTTTCAAAAAAAAAAATATTCTTGTGTGTTCTATTCCTAGTTTCTTGTTGTTGGTTTTTTGAAATTACTGAAATTAGATTTCAGCCAATGCTTTTCCTAAATTTCTACAATCACTTCCTATTAAATTAGTACATAGCAATTTCCTGGGCTGAAATAGAAGTCATCCTCTTTGATTTCGGTTGTGTTTCCTCTCCGATTTTTTTTTTTTTTTTTGGAGGTCAGATTCATATCAAAGTTATTTTTTTGCTAATGGTGCCTAAATTCGAGTACCTATGGAAGGAAAAAATATATAAGTATTAAAATCTGAGATCGGACAATTAAAATTTGAAATTTTCGATATCCAAATTCAACTTAAGGATTTTAAATGTCAAATTTCAATCGTCAACGAGAAGATTGATGTAAAATTTTTCATCTTGGAGGAGATGTTAAAGAAGTTGTTCGAGGGCCAACCTAAAACGATGTCGTCGAAGGTGAGGGAAGCCACCAGCAACCAAGGAAGTGGGGAAACCCTAATCCTATTAGGTAAAGGGAAGATCAGGAGGTGAAGATTCTGGAGGGAGAGAAGAGAGTTACTTCCTTAGAGCTTATTCCTAAGGAGGAGCTAAGTAGAGGGTATGGGGGGTGGAGTGAGTAGGTCAAGCATGAAAGAAGGGGTGCTAAATTTGAGAAGAGAGGGACAGAAGTTGAAAAGGGAGGGGCAAATTATGATCGAAGGGGAGCTGAATTTGAAAGAAAATGGGCTAATTATAATCGAATGAGCGCTGAATTTGAAAGGAGGGGCTGATTATGATCAAATGGGCGCTAAATTTGAAAGGAGAGGGGCTGATTATGATCTAATTGGTGCTGAATTTGCTAAGAGAATGTGAGAATTTGACGGAAGGTTTGGGTACGAGCGTAGAAATGATGATTGGGATACCTCAGGGGAACCACCTCCTTAGAGAATAAGAAATTATGGAGAGGGAATGGAAGAGATCTGAGAGTAAGAAAGCTGAAGATGCCTATTTTTTAGGGAGATGATGAACATGGGTGAATATACAGGTTGGAAAGATACTTTACCGTCAATAGATTGACATATGAGGAGAGACTGACGACGAACGGTAAGTGCTTGGAGGGGAAAGCGTTGGCATGGTACCAGTTGAGGGATATGAGGCAACCCATGCGGACCTGGAGGGAGTTTAAAGACTACTTGTTGGAATGTTTCCGAACTAGCAGTGGAGGAGATTTCTATGAGCAGTTATTTGCTCTAACTTAGGAGGGAATAGTGGTGAAGTACCATGGGCAATTTAAGCACCTAGCCAGCCAACTGGATCGGCTTTTGGATACTGTACTAGAGGGAAACTTTATGAAAGGGCTCAAACCATAGATTCGGGCAATAGTTAGAGTGATGAGGCCTCATGATTTGGCAGAGGCTATGGTGCTAGCCCAATTAGTGGAGGATCAGAGGCACATAGAGAGAGGGGTTGGATGTAGTAGCTCAAGAGGTTTGTATAAGATGACTACAACCTTTTTGGCATCAAAGGAGCCGACACCGAGTACTCTTAGGGAGACTCCAAATGAAAAGACAGCAGGAAAAAGACCTGAAAAAAATTCAAGAAACTCACATAAACGGAGCTACAAGAGAAGAGGGCAAAATGGTTGTGTTTCAAATGTGAGAAGAGGTAACCACAAGGCACATGTATAAGAACCAAACTCTTCAGCTTCTCACCGTTTGTAATGATGAGAAAATTAACGAGGGAGTTTTTTTTCCACTTTGCGGACAAGGTGGGTCTTTGAGAGGATGGTATTGGGAGGGGGGATTGTTTGATTAGGTCCCTCATTGTTTGATTAGGTCCCTCCTGAACCGGTCCTACCGGTTCTTTGGGGACTGATTTAGAGAAGATTAATTAAAAAATATATCCTAATTGAAGAAGACATATTTGATAATTATTTTGGGGACTGATTTGGAGGGAATTAATTAGGAAATATTTCATAATTGAATAGGGCTGATTTGAAGGAGATTAATTAGGAAATATTTCTTAATTGAAGATGGCATATTTTGGGGCTGATTTGGAGGGGATTAATTAGGAAATGTTTCCTAATTGAAGGGGCCTGATTTGAGGGCTGGTTTGGGAGGGAAATAATTAAGAAAATATGGCATATTTGGGAGGGAATTGGGAGAGAGCTATTTGGGTATTTATCACTTATTGTATGCTTTAAGTAGGGAGTTTTTCCTAGGGTTGGGAGTATGTGTTGTTTGCTGAAATTAGATTGTTCTTAGGGTGTTTGGGCTCTAGCCACGACTAGAGATTTGGGAGAGCCGGATCTTCCTCTCCAATTGAAGATCCACTTGTATATTGTCTTTTCTTTCATAAAATTTTCAATAAAAAATATACTTGTGTGTTTTATTCCTGGTTTTCTTGTCGTTGGTTTTTCGAAATTGTTGAAATCAGATTTCAGCCAAGACTTTTCCTAAATTTCTGCAAGCACTTCCTATCACGATGTCACCTTCCCTTACCACCATTTTTTATGAAGATATTGTTCTCCAAATCATGGGGTCTGAGTTGGCTCGTGACCACAAAGGAACTGCTAGTGATATGAATTGCTATGCAACCAATCATGGACCGTCTTATCTTGGAGCGTGGTGATGATGAAGTAGATTTGTTACAGAAAGACCTAAGTCCATCATGAATTGAGAGGCCATCAGTGGAGGGCTACTTGCAAGTTTACAAGGGGTATCAGAGAAGGGCTTACTTGCAAGGGAAAATGGGGAGGTGGAATTGATTAGAGATTCATTGTCAAAGGAGGGGAAGAAATGGAAGATGGCGCCCATGTTGAAAGTGAAGGCTGACTCTATACAAGAATTTGAGCTTCTCTATCATTCATCAGCACATAAACCACTGCAATGCACTGCATTGCATGAGCCCACCGCCAATCCTAACTTTATCGATCGATGATTAATCTTACAATAGAGAAAAATTAGTGGAGAATGCTATATCCTACTTGGAGAAGAAAAGAATAGATCCATTATCATGAATTATATCATAAATTTTGAATGGTTCATTTTTAAAATATATAAAAGAATACTTTTAGCCACATTTTACAATACCAACAACTTCAAATCCTAATCATTCAATTTTTTTTATGGTGGGTGGAAGATGTACAAGAATAATGAGAAATTAATTAGGAATTCATTGTCAAAAGAGGGGGAGAAATGAGAAATGGTGCCCATGTTGGAAGTGAAGTCATGGCTCAATAGAAGAAATTGATCTTCTCTATCATTCATCAGCTCATAATCCACTGCGATTCAATAGAATGTCATAAACTACTTGGAGAAAAAAAGAATAGATCCATAATCATGAATTTCATCATATTTGAATGATTTGGTTTAAAAGTAGCTAAAAGAACAATTTTAGCCACATACAAAACAAAGACCTCAAATCCTAATCATTCAAAATTTTTTATCATGGGTGGAACCGTGGAAGATGCAGAAGAATAATCGGTGATTGATTAGGGATTAATTGTCGAAGGAGGGGGAGAAATAGGAGATGGTGCTCATGTTGGAAGTGAAATCATGACTCAATAGGAGAATTTGAGCTTCTCTATAATTCATCAACTCATAATCCACTAAGATGCACTGCATCACATGGGAGCCCACTTTCAATCCTAATTTTATTGATATTTCCCTCTATAATTAATCATACAATAGAGAAAAATAAGTGGAGAGTGTTATAACCTACTTGGAGAAGAAAAAAATAGATCCATTATCATGAATTTTATCATAACTTTTGAATGGTTATGTTTGAAAGTAGCTAAAAGAACACTTTTAGTTACATTTTATGATACCAACAACTTCAAATCCCAATCATTCAAAATTTTTTGATGGTGCGTGGAAGATGTACAAGAACCCTCCCTCCCTCCCTCTTTCTCCCTATACACACAAGATTAACCACTTGACATAATTAGTAGTGGGTAATGCACAACACTATCAAGATAACTATTCACATACTTCTTGTTACGTCACCTCTGTCGTTTATACAAAATCCACTGGACTGGTCCAAATCCCCATAATCAGATACTCTTGATGCATGACCATTATTTTCCTCAGCACCCCTAAGAAAGTCAAGGCAATTAGATAAGAATAATGGATGAAATTCATTAGTTCATAAATTAATAAATAGATAAGTTATAAGTATATAAACATGAAGCCACTAAAATTCATAAGAATGCGACAAAAACAAAGAAAATATTAGTTGAGACAGATATGGATGCAAAAGAAGCACTACAGTAATTAAAAGAAATTGAGTTATCAATCCCAGCAGTCTTTCTATTATCTAAAAGAGGAGCATCAATGCAGAACGATAGAGACTTTCAGTACATTAATGCAGTAGCTTATTAAAGCCATGTTCCCTCAATATTAGGGGTCTTTAACTTTCTCAAAGGGGTCTTTGTATTTAGTAAAATCCATTGAAATCTTCTGAAATAGTCCTTAGAACACTTCTAAAGGCTTGAAATATGTTACGATGTCATTTTTTAGCTTTTACATTGTGAATGAACAAATTTACAAAACGTTTGGTACATCTAAGTTCAGATTAATGAAGACATGAAAAACTATTCAAAAGGCATAACCAAATTTACCCTTTGAAATGGTATCAATCATTTCTGCAGTTACCCTTTGAAGAAAATGGACCACTATTGGACACAGTTACCTACTATCCTACTTCTGTCATTTTCTCAAAGGCAGGGTTGGTCCATGTGCAAGAGTTAATGAAGTTAATGTGAAATGCTATGAAGGCATCTTTAGGTCCTCGATAAATAGAAAATTGGAGACCTACACACCCTATCAATGCTAATATTCGGCTTACCAAGTTTTAAGGAAATCGTATAAAAACCACAAGATTTTGGTTTGCAACTCTTATAATATCTCCTTGGGAAGGATAACGTAAGAACTGTTAAAGTGAAAATTTACAAATACATTTATTGTGCTACTATTAATCAACCTTAAGTTCAGTCAAGTGGAGGTTAAGGAATAGAAGTGACTAAATACATGGATTTTACATTTTTATATTGCAATGGTTAAAATGTCTCACTTTATGGTGTTTTTCTTCATAAAAATGAAACATGCACAAAAAAGTGAAGAATAAATTAATACTAGATAGAATAAAACACACCCTAAGCCACATATGCTACCAAGACTCACTTCTCCCTCTCTAGTTCTTTAATAACTTTTTTAGACTTTCTTTGAACAACAAGCAACAGAGGCAAAGTAATTAGAGCATCATACTATAGATAACATCAATACTGCAGCTAACCATTGACATGTAACTAAAGTAACTGGCGTACCCAAAAGAAGGCTTATATCAGCACTACCATGAAATTAAGTCATATGGTAGAAACTAGAATATCATCACCATCGATGACAGCAATCCTTCCAGGCCATGAGTTCAATTCTAGACTATTAAACCTAGTATAATGAAGAGGGAAATTGAATTCATCGGTCAACCAAGGTAGTTAATAAAGTGTAAGTTGCCTAAGCTCAACCAGGAAAGTATGCAATTGTTTAGGGGTGTCAAAATGGGTCATCGGGTAGGTTTTGGGTCCAACCCTAAATTGACCCACTCTCAGCTAACCCGACCCGATCCTGACCCGGCTATAGAAACGGGTCGGAAATCCAAACCCAAACCCGAACCCGACCTAGTTCAGGTTCGGGTCAACCTGAAATGACCCGCCAACCCATTTTGCTCTCAATTTTTGCCATTTTTTAATTTTAGATTTATTTAAGATTTTAAGTAATTTAATTAAAAATATTAAATGCAAAAAATAAACACAAAAAAACAAATTATTGCCAAAATACTAACAATAATAGCCAAATTACAAATTACATATTAACAAATAGATGTTAGCCTGTTACTTGTATTAAATATGTAACACATCTAATATTTTGTTGCGTATTACAGCTAATCTTTTTAATATGCTCTTAAGCTCATATATGTTTAACATTAAAACCATGTATTACGTAATAGATGTATTCATATAAGTTATAATACCTAGTATTTTGTTACATATTACATATTAACATTAAAAATAGATAATATCAAGCTGTAAAAAGATATGAGTTTAATATGTAAAACATCCTCATTAACTAAATACTAACAATAATTGCCAAATTACAAATTACATATTAACATACATAAGAAATCAGGTCAGATTTGGATTTTCGGGTCAACTCGAACCAAACCCGATTCTAAAAACGGGCCGGATTTCTGAACCCAAACCCACCCCGTATTGAATATTTCCCGGGTTGGGTCCGGATCGGGTTTTGGGTTGGGTCGAGTATTGACACCCCTACAATTAGTCAAGAAATATCAATGATAGTTCATATCAAAGATCTCAAACCGTCAATTTATTCTAGATCAAAAATTTCATCAATCCCTTGTCATAGAACAAACTACAAAATTATTTTCAAAATGCATAATGAACTCTTCCTGCAAATGTGATTGAATAGCTTCACATTCCCCTAGTTGACCAACACCTTCAATATAATTTGTTTCCAAATGGACCAACTTCGGTGAGAGTTGTGAAACACTAGTTGATAATTCAAAACAGCATGCTCGCCTACTCAAAGATCCAGGGAAGAGGAGACAGGTTCTACATTGGGGATATTTTAACAAACCTCTCCAAAAACCCACACCATGCCACATTGGCCCTCAACTTTATGATTGCGCTTCTATTGATACCTATTTTATTATTGTTTCTCTTTTGTAGGCTTCAATTTTTCATGTTGATCTTTAGCGTTTGTGACTCCAAGGAATGAGTAACTTTGAGATCTCCAAAAGAACATGTGTAAAAAATAATCTTGATATATCATCAAAAATCATCTTTATCAAGAATGAATCTCAAGGTATATTTGAATTAAAAACTTTCAAAATTAAATTTAGAGTCATCTGAACTCCGATTTCAACAAATTTATACTTGAACTAAATGTCTTGACAAGACGAACCAAACAATACCAAATGTGGTCCAATTTGACACTGAATGAGACCAAATTAAGGGGCCAAAAGTGTAGCTGGAAACTTTAGAACATTAATTGGATAACTAAATAATCTCCAAATTTTGCATGCCTATAATCGAATTGATCATCTTGACGAAATAAATCCAACGAGACCAAGATCACTTAATTCTGACATAATTAAAGCTCCTAAATGTTGAACAAATACTTCATGATCAAGAGAATCAATACAACTCGTCTGATAGTGTGTTCCGAATTTGGTCATATTTACGAGGAAAGCAACTCTAAAAAATCTATAAATAAACTCACACACTCCACATCAAGGAGTGGGGAGCTTAGAGCTAGAGTCTGAACTTTGATTTGAGATTCAAGAGAGTTTTGAGGCTCTAAGGATTTCAAAGCACCATCCATGTACCGCCGCCAGATTACCATTGTCCGACTACTGTCTCTGACCACAGTTGTCCGATTAAAGTCTTCAGACCACCATCACCATACTTCGATCTTCCAACCACCATCACTATACAATAGCCCTTGGCCCAACATCATCCGACGACGGTCCTAAGATCACCATCGCCTGACTAAGATCCTTGAAACATCGTCGCCCCACTACAATCCTCGAAACACCATCGCTTAACATCGGTCCCTCCGACCTTCGTTGTATGAATACGATCTTCTAACCATCGTCTCCCAACAATAGTCCCTCCGACCTCTATCATCCGACGACAGTCCCTCGGACCATCGACACCCAAAAACGATAATCTAACCACCACCGCTTGACAACGTGTCTGTCACCCAACTACAATCCTCAAATCATAGTCACCCGACTAAGGTGTAACATCCCACGCTGCCCCTTCCAAAAAACACAAGCTGCAACAGAGAAAACCATAAAACTCCTAAACATTCATAACCAAATCATTTTAACTATCTTCATACCACTTAAAATAGAAACATTCAATTTTCTTCATGCATTTCATACATATATAATTACAAAACAAATAACCACCTAAAAATATTTTAATAAAAACAGTTCACATACCTCTATTAAGAACTCATCTCATACTACCATAAAACCAAACATAGTTTTAAAAATTTAACCTGAGTCTATTCAGCTTCCACTATATCCCTGGCATTTCCTGTAACAATGGTCAGAATAAAAATTATGGTGAGCTATGAAGCTCAAAAATATATGCAATTTTAATACCATATTCAAGTATATGAAAATAATATTTACCTGTTTATCAACAAGTGGAAGTAAGAACCGCATGTAATCATTAAAAAAGAAATGCATAGTATGGGATTATTTAACAGAAAAATAAGGTCGCATGTAAGAACTATGCTTATCTAAACTAAACTTTCGAGTAGGTCTCATAATGCCAACAACATCACCACACATCACATACTTCCAACATCATTAATAATACCAAATGTATTCAATGAGTACTTCATGCATCACAATATGTAATCATTCTTATATCTTTCAATTCATTAACTTTCTTTTTCCAACCTTAGAAAGTGTCATGTTCACATGATGAGGTCTAGGACAACAGTCTATAGGCACCTGAGGTCGCACTGCCTCTATCGTCCGTAGGCTTTATATCATAGTCAGTAGACTACTGAGATCGCATTGCCTCTATCACCCGCATGCTTCATATCATAGCCCTTAGGCTCCTGAGGTCGCACTTAGGGGTGTAAGTGAGCTGAGCCAACTCGTGCTTGACTCGATAACGAGCTCGCGAGCCGAGCTTATCGAGCCACGAGCTCGAGTTCGAGTTGGTTGAGGCTTGGCTAGTGAGCTCGCGAGCTGGCTTGAAATTATTTAATTAAATTAATTAGCGAACATATTTTTATTTTCAAAAAAAATAAATATGCTCTTTACTTGTTTCGGCCTATATGATAGTTTTAAAAAAGTATACATGTTTCGGTCTATTCAATAAAAAAATACCTGTTCGGCCTATATGACAGGACAAACTATACCTCCTCTTCATAAATATATGAGAGAAGTTTTAAAAAAGTATGAATAAAAAACTATTAGTTATTTTCCCCAAAAAAAGCTGCTGCAAGTTCATGTTAAAAAAAAAAACCTAGCATTTCTACTTTTTGAAAT